GTGAATATTAACCAACAAAAATGAAACTTTTCGAAAGCATAGTCCGGGGGTAAGAGATGGATCATGCTTGTTCTCCGCCTGCCGCGCCTCCTTTCTTTTTTTTTCCTTTTTCGTTCAATTACCCCTGTCATTTCGTGCCAATGCGCCTTCAAGATAGTTGAAGCCTTGTCAAGGAAGCAAAAGCGACAGAACAGATACATACACAAGCTCTTATGGATCAAACCAGATTCCATAGTCCAAGAAATAAACAAGCTGTGAACAAAACGCAGCACAAGGAAATAGAAGCACTTACACTGGCAAAGAAGCTCTTGTGACCAGAGCCTCTCCGATTAGAGCTCCCAGAAGTCATTTTAGCAGTCAGACTGTCCTTCTGTTGGAAATTTCCTATATTATGACCCAGCACGCCGGGGAAATAGGTTCTAGCCTCAGCCAAGAGTCGCCCGACCGGACAGACAGCCGAATTAAAGATTGTATGAATTTCTGGCGAAGCAGGACAGAAAAGTAGGGGCGAAATTTCTTCACCTTCTCGCCTGAGAAATTGACGGTATATTTTCCTCGAATAAGATGATGACAGATCCGGCTGTCTTACAGGGGATTCGTTGCAGAAATGTCAAGAATTGTAACTGGCTGGATCACATTAAGCCCAACAGTCGATGCGGTGAAGAAGCAGAGGAACAGCACAGACGTCATGCCGCGGGGCAGTGAATGGCCACTCCGCTGTAAAAGATGAAGCGGAAGTAGATAGATGGTCTCTTGAAAGCCCCTTTTGATAAGTGTATATTCATACAATGGAGGGAATTTTCTGAAGCTGAAGAAAGGATGACATCCACAAATGGTACCACGTGATGCTCTTGTTTTCGTCGGGTAAAGTCGTACCCGTTACTGGCCATCTTCCATCTCTAACCAGACGGAGCAAACGGGCAGGTGACATGCCTACTTTTTCTACCTAGGTCCGTGGGCTGTCGAATTCGCAAAGCGAAGAAACAAGGTTGGGTTGTCTTTTGTTTACATGCATTTTAAAGTTCGCATGAGTAGTACGAAGTACAGACAAGAGACTCGAGATACTCAGGCATGTTGCAAGGGTTGTATGTGTCTATAGTACCGAGTATCTCTGTCGCAGCAATGGACTCTGGATCTGGGGCGTGGGATGCGGGTAATGCCTGAAATAACTGTTCTGCCGGTTGGCTCTTACCGCTTCTATCACCGCATTTGGTTGGTTCAGGTGGCCTGATTCAACCCTGAGCCCCTGACCGCCCTTGTCCATATCCCATTCGCATCGCAGCAATAAGCGTTGATTCCGTTTACTGGCACAGTGAGATGACTCTCATCCGATAAGGCTTCTTTCAATGATACGAAGGGAGTTACAGTCTTTAAGATATCTTAAGTGTACAAACGCTCTTTGCGCCAGTTGCAGGCGACGGCGGAGTAATGATATATTATGCTGTTTCACTAACTGCTTCATCCGGAGGTGGTCTGTCCTCCTGGGGACTGAGATTCCTTTGACGCTGTGGATCATCCAAGACAGCATGATTCCTCCGTCCACCGCAATGCGGGGCGTTCAAGCATGCGGAGATGAGTATGGGTAGACGCAATGACGAAATTCTTTATCCCCATCTCCAGCTTGACTCGAAACTGGGGTTGCCTTGTGGGCAAAGGCGATGACAGTTGATCGTCTGGCAATGCATGTCAACGCAGCTTTCGTCGATGAACTTCCCAATATGAGCGGATTCACATGTGCGACGACCTATCTCGACCAACAATATCTGAGTGAGTCGATTACACACCGACAGCAATATCGTTGGTAGCCGGAGCACCATTTGAATCGCGTGCAGATGACCACTTGTTTCTCCTTTCCTCCGAGTTACTAGTCTCTCCACGGGCTCTCTGCACGCGAAGATTCGCCCCCCAGGGACCTTCCTGGCCATTCAGGGTGTCCATGGCATTCTGAGCCTCTTCCGTGCTGCTAAATTCGACGAACAAATAGTAGTGGTCACCAGGCTCGAATCGCTTCGCAGGGTGAGGTGGGAACAATTTGCTGACATTTTCACTTTTTTGGAACAAATTTAGTCTCGAAAAGTCAATTCCATAGAGGGGAATTGCAGACATACACCTTGTATCCCTTGAAGAAGTTGGTAATATTTGTGGTGATAATCTCAGGGTCGGTTAACTTAGGAAGACCGCCGACATAAAGGCGACGGCTAGAGTCGCTGTTGACCTTAGCGAAGGCGGGCGTGTCGTTGCGTCTCCAGCGGTCAAGGGCAAACGGGCTGCCCTTATCGCTGCGAGGCGAGCTTTCAGTTCGTTGCTGTTGCTGTTGCTGTTGCTGCGAACGCTCGCTTGCGGTTTTGGCAACTCCAGGTTTGATCTTGACAGGCCGGCCAAGCATATCACGACCATCCAATTCGGTCATTGCTTTATCCGCCAATTCCTTGGTCTCCAAATCGACAAAACAGTATGAGGGATTGCGGCCAGTGAAGGGGTCTATCGCGATATCGATCCGCTCGCTGCAAAGCACTCAGTTTTGGCCATCTCCATACAAGAATTCCTGTCTCCGTACATTGGGAAGTTTGCGGCGGTGAACAATGCTTGCACATCCTCCGACTTGGCCGTATACGGCATGTTACCAACGTATAGACGGCGGCCTTCAGAAATAGCCTGAGGCACCTGAGAGCTTGGTCTGCTGAATGTGAGCCTCGAGGAATTTGTCTTTGGCCCGGGCGAGCCAGAGCTCTGAGCACTCGGACTTTCCTCGCCCTTCATGCGCCAATTTGGCGAATTGAAAGCGCGACCTGATGTTCTAACACCAATTTGAAAAGGCGATCTTCCGGGAGCTATGGACTCATCAGTCTTCCGAAACAATGGCACGAAGCGAATTCTTTTGGATACAGCCCCAAATGAGCAGCCCAAAGGTATTTTCCTACACACTTTGTTGCTGCGGTACGGGACTCTCAGGACCGTCGGCCATTGTGAAAATCTTTTTTCGAAATTATGAACGAGAAGGTGGTTCGTCTCTGCGAGAATTGGGAAGATTTAGCAGCTGTGTTTACAGTGGTTGATCTTGATAAGATTAGATTTTCTCACCTTGAGGAATAAATTTCTTTATTAGTATCCGTCCGTGTGAACCAGCGAATGAAATTATGTTCGCTGCTAGATTGCTATGCAAGTCAAGAAAAGAGAGAGAAAATTAGTCTTCAAAGACCTCCTGTGCTGGCACAAATACTCATCAACGATCCCACCTCAAGTCTGCCTAATGGCACCAAAACTTTTTTTAGTACCTATGGACGCGAACTATGTCAAACAGAGCAAAGACCACAAACAGGGCAAACATGAGCCAGTTTCTGATTGGCTCATTAGCGAACCAAGCGTATTTCTTCCAGCAGCAGTTCAACAATCACGATTTCATCATGTTCCACGTCGCCTTCTGCTGTGCTTCCTTAAGAACATGCCACTCCTGCTACTAACAAGATGGACTTGTCATACCATCAGACTGGTTGTCATATGAGCAGGTTCACACCAGGATGAAGCTCTATTTGATCCGTCACGCAGAGTGTGGACATAACGTGGGACAGGCAGCGTACGCGTCTTCTGTTGACCTCAGTAGAATGGCAGCTGACAGTCCTGGCATATCGTCGGACTCTGCAGAGGCGATGAGAATGGCCACTACCTGACCGAAAACGGTAGGACGCAAGTCCGTCTACTCGCTCGAAGCCTCAGGGATCGGATGATTCGATTCACTCATGTTTTCTCGTCAGATCTTGATCGAGCCTCGGAAACTGCGCAAGGTATCTGCGAACAACAGCTGGCAAGTGGCGCGTTGCTGGCCCCGATTCAGGTCCCAACTCTTCGGGAGCAACAGTACGGCTCTCTTGAAGGTACACGGTGGCAGTCCGGTGCTCCTGCTTCCAGCATCAGTTCCCCGGATGCTTTGCGTGGAGGTGAGCCGACGTACACCGATGAAGAGTCTGTCGTTTCCATGCGGACTCGTATGAACGCATTTTTGCAGGACTACATAATGCCTTTCCTGGTCAATGCAGACGTCGCAAACGAGGAGGTTATTGCTGTTGTTGCTCACGGCGTCATCCTCCAGGTTCTCTGGGTTTGTCTCGCGGATTTATTCAATCAAAGAGATATCCACCTTGGACCTGGTGTCGGACAAGCTGACTTTGGGGACTATGTGCGGCCTGTATGGTCGAATACCGGCGTGATGGAGCTGGACATCCGGCCAGCATCGATCGTACCACCGTACGTCCGTGATGCCGCCCGTCCACCTCCGTTCCTGCTCGGTTCCTTGCAGCGACCCGAGTCATTCGAGGCCCCGCTGTCTGGATGGTCAATGACTGTTATGGCCGTCGATGATACAACTCATCTTGACACCACGGCGCAGCAGGTTGAGCGCACGGGTGGGACCGTTCGCAATACTCTCCAACCGTCTAGGCAGGCGACAGCAGATCAGTTTTATCGGCTAACTAGCACAGCATAAATAACAACTAGGTCTTATGGACGCAAATTGTGCTCTTAACAGGTGAGATACTATCCCCTCCTATCACGTTCCTCTTTTCCTTACCTCTGCCTCCTTCCGTCCTTGGGGTCACTTCCTATGATGAAGAAAGATTTCACACAGACCTGTTCTGAGTATTTCTATGCGGATCAACAATCGTTCCAACTGCTGTCTGAGAAAGTGACCCTTCTTTTCTTGTGCCCTCGTTAGCATGTCATGGCTTTTACGTTGGTCACTTACTTGGACAAGTTTATTAATTAATTGTTCTTAGTGACCGCGCAGGTTGCCGCAATGCTTTACCACTCCTTATTTCGTTGATGTTAATACACTTTAGACCCGGCCATAAACATATTATATATGTAACCAAATTGAAACTTGTCATTATCATTGAGCACCGTGTCATCATCTACATGTTATAGTCGTAGCGCAATGCAAAAGTAGTATGTACATATATTTACGCCAACATCGCACAGCTAAAGCCGTTCAACCGCAGACTGACTTTTCAATGTCCCCGCACATATCTTGTCCTGCTCCAATCCGCAGTGTTGAAAACAAAATCACTCGAATAACCCACCGGATCTTCCCTCTCGTACAGTATCTCCGGCTTCACCTGCTGACGCAAGATATACCTCTTAAAGAAGTACGGGATCTGGCGCAGCCCATACGCCGCGTGAAACCGCGTCGGCACCGAAAACACCTGGTCCAGCTCCTCCAGCGTCTTGCCCTTCGTCTCCGGCATGAACAGAAGCACCAGAACGAATCCGATCAGATTCCACGCCGCATACCAGCAGAACGCGCCCTGGTCCTTGAACGAATCGTGCAGTGAGGGCCACGTGATCGCCAGGAGAAAGTTGAAGAGCCAGGTTGTTGCCGTTGCTAAGGCCATGCCGTACGAACGGACGTAGAGCGGGTAGGCTTCTGCTGAGTAGGTGAATGGCACTGGACCCTCACCGACGGAGTAGACGACGCCGAAGAGATAGAGGCCTAGCGCGACGCACGCAAGCTGCGCATCACTTTGTTCCGACGCAGGGATGTAGAAGCTGAAGCCGGTGAAGAACCAGGCGAGGGCCATGAGAGGGAAGGTGGTGAGGAGGAGATTGCGACGGCCGAATGTGTCGATTGTGTAGACCGCAGGGATGGCGAAGAGCCAGTTCACCACCCCCCAGCCGAAGGATGTGGCTAGGGCATTTCGGGCTGATGTCACCTTGATGAAGATTTCAGATGAATAATACGCGATAACGTTCACGCCACATAGCTACATATTTGAGTTAGACAGCGAAAAATTGGCTATGACCCGGGGGAGGTTAATTACCTGTTGCAGGAACATGACAATCTCGGATGCGATTAGGGCGCGCCGGTTCCGAGGCACAGCGATGAGTTCTACCATCTTGTTCTGGCCGAGCTTCATCCCTTTCTCCGCTTCCAGCAGGGTGTGCATGTAATAAAGGTCTCGAGCGGCCTGGATCTTGTGCGCACGCAGGCTGCACATCGATTCATACGCCTTGTAATAGCGATTCTGGGACATGTACCAACGCGGTGACTCCGGGCAGGAAAATACAAACAAGCAGACCAAGATAGCTGGGAACATGGCAGAGGCCATCATGATGCGCCAGTTGAGACCGACAATGTTTGGAGGGTCTGGGACCTCGAAGAAAGCCAGGTCCGCTGCATAGCCCAACATGATGCCAAATGCAGTCCACATCTGCCACTGCATCACCAATGCACCACGGATGGCGGGAGGAGCAGTTTCGGCTGCGTAGATGGGAACAGTTGCGGACTTGGGACCGATGCCGAAGCCCAGGACGAACCGGGAGATGAACATATGCCACCAAGTGTTGACGAACCCTTGCCAAAGGCAAGCGATGGCGGAGAAACAGCATGTAATGAAGATGGTCCCGCGGCGACCAAACCACGCGTTGAAAGGGACTGCCAGCCAGCAACCAAGGACGGCGCAGCACAGATATGGTGCGGCGTTCACCAACCCGAGCAGCCAGCGAGACCGCGAGGTTTCATCGTCAATGCCGAATTGCGTCTTGTAGAAGATCTGAGCGCCATTGACAACCGTTTCATCTGTCGAAAGCAGACTTAGCTTAAGCACTAGATACACAAGTGTGCTTGGTTCTGACAACTTACCCATTCCTTGCACCGCTGCTGATAGAGAGCACAAGGCAATAACTAAATACATTGTCCAGGGTTGCGACCAACGGTGAGTGAACTCGAGATGTAAAACGTCAAATTCCTCGTCCGTAAGCAAGCTTCTGAAGGAATCGAACTTTTCAGGCTCCTGGGCCAGAAGCGCGCCTAACTCAAAAGCGCGAATGTCGGTTTCATCACCCATATGATGTTCTATGGCGAATTTGATCCCTTGACTGCGCAGCTCCTCGTGACTATAACCTGCCAATGGATTGGCGAGTTTTGCGTTCAAATTGCGTCGTGCTCGCTCTGCGGCCGTTAGATATCTGCGCTGAGGCACGAAAGTGTTGGTCCTTTCTGGAGCATGTTCGATATCTTCAACTCGTTGTTCGAGGGTACCGTCCCCGAAAATTTCGGGATCACCTGGTCCTGCCATCGTCTAATGAACGATGAAGCGGATCAGACGTATGTCTTCCGATGCCTGCAAGTGGCAGCGCGCTGTTGTTAAATAGGCCGCAAAGAATCAACGCAGTCCACTGAATTGTATATTTACATCAGTGCACACTAATAAGGTATTGCCGGCAGGAGATCAAGATCAATGCAAGTTGATGGATTTGAAATCTTACACGATTTGCTGTGCAGAGTAGATTTACGGTAAAGTTGGATATCATCAAAGAGAAATTTTCCGATAAAGATTTGAAACGACAGGGCTGAATCTGACCACCGGCACTGAATATAGCGTAAATGGTAGCAACAAAGAGAGGCAGAGAAGGCGAAATATTTCTTTGAGAGCCCTCGGGGACAAAGAAGCAAGGTGCTGGCAGCGCAGGAGAGGTACATCCATAGACACGATGCCCTCGAGCAGAGCCCCAGGAACGAAGACTCGAGGCTTTTCAGTGACGACAGAGATCCACCGATATTGTTTGTGATCGTCCATTGCTTTTTCTATTCATTTTTCTCTTCCTGCCCATTCCTACGAAGGGTGTCAGCAAACAATGGACATTGGTGGCGGCTGAGCAATAAGATCGAGGAAAATGCCAAGGATGTAGACAATGAAAGCAATGAGTCTCGTATTCCGCCCAGTTGCCGCACAGCCACGTCGAATCGTTCTGTTGGTCTATTGTCCAGGGTTGACTGCTGTCCGAATTGCGGATCTCTGGGGCTGTCAACCCTTTTCCGGTGCTCGCTGATGCTGATCACTCCAAAGTGGATTCATCCATCCTTCAAAGGCAAATGATTACTCAGGTCATATATGGAGACGCTAGATCACATTCGGAGGATAAAAATACAGAAGCCAAAGTAATGGGACGCCCGAGAGAATAGTGGTTGGTTGTGATGAGTAGAAGCTGACAGAGACGGGAAGTGCTGCATGAGGACCTCATACAAGCGACAAGTGACAAGCCTGTCACGCATTCTGTTTCTGTCATTTTTTTTCCCCCCGAATCCAGGTTACTGAAGGCATATTTCATCCTCAGGAACATTAAGCTGCTCATTATTCAATTTGAATTTGTCTGTACAGATTGACCGCAATTCTTGAATGAGTCTCCCATCCTAATATCCTCGCAATTTATGTCACGGCAATACTTCCCATGAAGACCAGTCACTCCACCACACAATACGCTCATTAATGCTAGGGCATATTTCGAACTCAGCGAGGCTTACTCTATCATGAGCCATTACTCGTCTCAAGGAATCCAATAATGCGTATCTTTCGTGTTGAAGTATTCGTATCAACATACACTGCGTCCTCTGAGCAAAATTGACCAGATTGACAGTTGCATGATACGGAGTCTCGTATCCTAATGATCATGGCAATACTCTCTTGTTAAACTATACCACGCTGTATGGTAGTAATAATTTGATAATAAAAATGGTACTATAATGCCGTCGCTTATATCAGTGGCCTACTAGTCTAGCCTTGTCCAATGTATCATTTTGCGGGGTTGAGAGCCTCGGACCGCTGCCGGGCACATCGGATGATAACAGGTGTAACTTATTGTTCTTTCCTGCTAGAAGCATAAACTTAAAGTATTGAATCCTTTTCCGATGAATTGTGATCGTTCTGTGGGTTGATATGCATTATTTCAAAGGAGTTGGCCGTTGCTTTGTCTATGAATTGACAGAACCCCGCATTTCGAACAACACTGGGTCAGTCAGCTTTACAAATATCGAGCAGTCTCTCACCATAGTGACTTCCAATAATGCATTTAGTTATACCTGTAGATACCTGTAGGGGCCAAAGCCTAGAAGGGAGGTTTTATTCCAAATATGATCTAGAGCCACGTGCTATATGTGGTGGAATACCAGGCTGATGAGATCCCCTCAGCCCCCATATTACTTGCATTGTCAGCCACCAGAAAAGGACACGATCTAATTTTTAGTTCTCTCCAAAAGTCTGGACAATTCCTATGGACTATTGATCATCCGAATTGCGACTGTTTCTGGAGAAGTAGAAACGCTTGTCGTCGGCTTTGCGGTGCGGGTGCGGCTTCGGTCCGCACCATGATGTATACTACCTCGTAGTATAAAGCGTCGAAGTGTTCAACAACCGGTGCTTGCAACAGTCCATCCAAATAATCTGTTGAATGAGTGTTTGATCATTTACTATATATAAATTTGCTCCTGGTTATTCTGTTCATCGAATCCGACCAGCGCCAGTCAGGTGAAGCAACAGTTCACACAAGGATGCTTGGAAAGGTCGCCCTCGAGGAAGCCTTTGCGCTTCCCCGCTTCGAAGAAAAGACTCGCTGGTGGGCTAGTCTGTTCTCTACCGACCCCGAAACCCACGTCAAGGAAATAACCGACATCACCAAGATCCGTATCCAATACGCCGACAAGCATGGCGTCGGCTACCAGATCCTCTCCTACACAGCACCTGGTGTGCAGGATATCTGGGATGCAAAAGAGGCACAGGCGTTAGCGGTTGAGATCAACGATTATATCGCGGAGCAGATCAAAGAGTACCCAGATCGATTTGGAGCTTTTGCGTACGTCCACTCCTGCTTTCTATAGTCCTTCCCGTACTCCCCGCCTGATATAGTTCTTTAGGACTCTATCCATGCACGACCCCAAAGAAGCAGCCCAGGAGCTCCGCCGCTGCGTAGAAAAGTACGGCTTCCTCGGTGCCCTTGTAAATGACACGCAGCGAGCCGGGCCCGATGGCGACGACATGATCTTCTACGACCAGCCCGAATGGGACATCTTCTGGCAGACCTGCACCGACCTCGACGTCCCCCTCTACCTACACCCGCGCAACCCCACGGGCACAATCTACGACAAGCTCTGGGCTGACCGCAAGTGGCTTGTAGGCCCGCCGCTGAGCTTCGCGCATGGCGTCAGCCTGCACGTCCTAGGCATGGTGACCAACGGTGTCTTCGACCGGCACCCCAAGCTGCAGGTCATCCTGGGTCATCTGGGCGAGCACATCCCCTTCGACATGTGGCGGATCAACCACTGGTTTGAGGATCGGAAGAAGCAGCTGGGGCTGGCGGAGACGTGCAAGAAGACGATCCGGGAGTACTTTGCGCAGAATCTGTGGATCACGACGTCCGGGCATTTCTCGACCACGACGTTGAATTTCTGCATGGCGGAGGTTGGGGCGGATCGGATTCTGTTCTCCATTGATTATCCCTTTGAGACGTTTGAGGACGCCTGTGTCTGGTTTGACGAGGCGGAGTTGAACCTGTCAGACCGGTTGAAGATTGGGAGGGAGAATGCGAAGAGGTTGTTTAAGTTAGGTCCGTATCATGATAGCTCTGCTTGATTTGGATAAACTGCCTGCACCATCGAGGATGGACACAAAACACTTAGTCAGTATTTGCCTGAGACTATAGAATCTTCCTGAGGCCGCAACTTCAGATGCTCTGTCTCATGATTATTACATGACTTGATCATTCAACTACTTGTGATCCGCTAGCCTGCAACCACCTCCACAATCCGGAGTACACCCATATGTACTGTAGGGCTTCATTCCGCCACTGTCCAATCAGCCATCCCCTTTAATGGCCTACACGCAGAGCCGCAAGGTATGTAATGCTCATCAAAGACAAGGTAATAGACCTTCGACTGATACTTGGCATAGACTGTTGGGTTTTGTGGTCCTTTTTCTCTGCGGTTGTCTAGTCATAATCTTGAACTTCTTCCTCGCCTCTGATAACACCAGGGAGGCTATCGACTCTGTGCAGCAATCGTCACTATGACAAGCGACTTGGGGTTCTTGATTTTATCGGGCATCGGAACCATGGATTTTGCCCTCCAATTTTCGCCGTGTCAGCTGCAATTGCCTCGTCAACAAAACTTCATTTGAGGAAGGACCGATCTACGCTCGAAAGACTTCAACCTTGTCAGAGGCTATTGGCTGCTGTAAGTGATCCTGAACACATCCAGCTTGATAAGATATCTGAACCAACTATGACTGACTCAGATCCAGATCGTGAGGCGATGCCGCCTCCTGCCTCACCGGCAAACCGAAACCGTTCTTCTCGACCCATTTCATCCTCAAATCAGACCGAATCTTCCTCTTCTGCGATCGGCAAGTCTACTTCGTCTGGCCAGAGTAGGGTCTCGCTGGCTATGTCTGATACATCAAGTGATTACCCGAAGTCTGACCAGTTCTCTATGCCTACAAAACTTGAGATCACAAGGCTTTCAGGAGATAATTGTTGGGCGTGTAACAGCTTGTATCCACAGATAGCGCATGTAGTGGCAAAGGAGGATCAACAGGTAGGCAGCTGTGTTTTTACTATCTTTCATAGGATGTGGATAACTTAACAACTGGATAGGTGAACCTATGGCACGATGCAGGTCTCTTGAACTTTCAGTTAACTTCAGCGGCAAACGGTGTCCTGTTATGTTACAGCTGTCACCTTGAGTTCGACCGAAGTCAGGATCCAGGATTCATGTTCATACCGATTGATCTACAATAGTTCATTGATTTTGAAGTTAATGACCGCAAGAAGAGAGTGTCAGCAGTGAGGGAAGTCCCAACGAATGTTATGTATCGCGACCATCTGGTCAAGCAAGGAATCATCTCGAATGAAGCGGCTAGTGGCCTTTACCGGCCAATTTTCTTGAAAAAGTACCTGCTTGGCGGCCTCGTCTCCCCAGAGCAGATCGGCCTCACGGAACCAAAACAATGGCATGGAGCTCCACTGGCGACCCTACGACGGGGCATTCTAGCACTGGGAAGCGGTAGAATCTGCCAGATTGACTCGCAGACAGTCACTCAACTGGAAACGCTACGAAACCTGTACTTTCAGGTCGATGAAGAGTGCTCCCTGGAAGCAGGGAACAGACAGACCAAACAAGAAAGCAGGAAAATACAAACGGATGATGAACAACACGGCGGATCAAAGAAGAGGAAGAAGACAAAGGATTTAAAACAAATAAGTAAACCGAAAAACACGGGGGGACACTACTTAAGAAGTGCACGGGAAGAATGGACCTTGGGGCCCCAGTTCACCACAGAACAAATTATTCAGCACTACGCGGACGTCCTTGCTTATAACTAAGGATATAACTAAGGGCTGGCTCTCAGGAAGGGGGGAACAGACAGACTGAACAAGATCTTCAAAGCAGGAAAAGACAAACAGACGACAATGAACACAGCAGATCAAAAAAGCACTCGCTGCTGCCCGAAAGGAAGTCCCCTTCTCCCTCACCAAGCCACAAGAGTCACTCGTTATTCTCATGGATCCTGCTCGTCCGCTAGAATAGGTGTCTCGCAACGGAATCGACCAGACAAAATCGTTAAGAACGAAAATCACCAGAACGCTGTTTTGCTACACACTGGGGGCGTAGAGCCTGACGAACCCTGTAAGTCTTGCGCCAATGGCGCGGGGACTTTCCGACGCTGCATTGCTGCCCCTGACTTCCTTATACACGAAGAGCGTCGTTCGCTCTTCGTGGAAGCGTGTGCCAACTGTGTTTGGAAGTCAAAGGGCTCGCAATGTTCGTTCTTTCCCCCGTCTTTTGTATCAAACGCAAATGCTTCGACTTCCTCGCGTGAGCCTATTGGTCCCCGTTCCCCTGCCTTACTCCGAGCTGATGAGTTCGGTACAGTTTCAACCTTCTTCCGTCGCTCCCCCGTGCCCGCCGAGTCCCTTTCGCTTCTGTCTAAGGGCAAGAAACGATTAACACCATCAGCCGATACGACCCCTTCCAAGCGCCGTCGTCGCGGCCATCCGATGGATGGCAGAATTCTTGCTCTTACACTACCACCAAACGAGCTGATCCAATTACACTTCTCGCTTATCACACTTCATGGGAGCATGTGCCAACTGCGTTTGGAATTTAAAGGGCTCGCAATGTTCGTTCTACCTCTAAGATGAAGACAAAGTATTTAACACAAATAAGTGAACTGAAAAACACAGACTACTTAAGAAGTGCATGGGAAGAATGGACCTTGGGGCCCCAGTTCACCACAGAATAAATTATTCAGCACTACGCGGACGTCCTTACTTATAACTGAGGATATAACTAAGGGCTCCTTTGATTGCATCTCCTTTAGTTTTTCCTTTAGTGGTCTCTATTTATACTCTGGCTCAATTCTATCAGACTATGTGTGCTGTGGATAGACCTGGCAATCCCAGTGTTAATCGATTGAATAACATGCTGTTTGATATTCACAGGGATAGATCAGTGATTGCAACCTATAAGCAGACTGAGTAACTTAGGGGATACTACTAATGTATAAATGCCCCAAATCCAGATAGTCAGACTAAGTGGAACAGAATCAACCAGGTCACTGTTCACTTATAATCATTCAACCATGGACGGATGCAGCGGCCAGCAGGCAGATTGGCCTGCTATGGTCGCGCCACAGTGTTGATAACTTTCTGTCCTCTCCATAAACTTCTCTCGTACGTCCTAGAAGGACGGCACGACAATCATGACATACCTCCACTAGTCCACCAAATAGACATGCAGCCTGATGTACGAGCTGTCAGCACACTAAACCCAGTCCCTGTCGACAATCAAACAAATAAGACCAACTAGGAGACACCGGACCCGAACCTCCCAGAGAAGCTATTAGACCATGTACTATAGATTTCAGCCCGCTAGCTCAGCGTAGTAGGGTGTGAAACCCGGATCTTTGTAAGATCATACTATATAACGTGGTTGGTTGGCGAGTCGTGTGCTTTGAAAGAGTTGGCTGGGCTTGGAGTAAGTGGCTGATGATATTTATACAATGCCTGGTAATTTGTAGTATCTACAGAGACTGGCGTCTGTTTAGAGGTTAGTGTCCATACCTACTCTTAGTCTTTTAACTGCCATGTACATCGCTGCTAGATTAAAGACTAATATTCATATGTAATGAATATTTGATTATTAGTTATTCTATTAGCAGTATATCTTATATAACAGACAAGAATAGAGATAATTTAATATACTATATTCTCTGACCATAAGACACTAGATATCATAAAACCCCTAATATATAGAGGATGCAGCCCGCAGTGTAGTCAATGACTCAATGGCGGAAAGGAGCATAACATAATATCAGAATAATTAATAAGTATGAATATATGATAACCATAAATATGTCTTTCATGATAGTGGTTAAGTATAATATTCCCCCAAGACTGCAATGACATGAGGCGTGTATAGGAGAGTTAAGTTGGTTAGGTAATAATCATTGATCACAGATCATGTAAATATAACCTCATCTGAAGTGATTGACAGTCCGGCTTAAAGCTCTAATAATCTTCAAGTACAATGAGTTGTAAGTTCATATCTAATATCAGTGAGAATTTACATTCGCCTAGTTTGGAAACATTAAGAGTAATGGTATACAGGCTGCATGTTAGATGCTATACCTGACCAGAGGCCTTAAGATTCACTGACAATAGTGGGTACTAAAAATACTTGAACAAGAGGGGTAATGATTCCGTGAAAGTGCCAAATCATTGAGTCTTTTTAATATAATATTTAGATGTTGTCCTGGGCATGGTGTCTAAGCCAGCTTCAACATGAGCCTTGGCCTTAGCCAGCTTATGGAAGTGTTTGAGATGAGATGTCAGGTTAGAATAAGAATTTGTCATGTAGTTCTCACATCTTGCGCAGGTAAGTTTGGGGGCCTGCTTGGAGCATTGACGCAAGTTGATCATCTGAAACGTCCTTGTGTTGCCTTTTGATATGGTACCTCAGGCTGTTATGGGCCATGTATTTCTGTCTGCTTATAATACAAAATCCTTGTGAGTATAAGTAAGTTAATTATAGACCTATGATCTATGCTTATTGAAGGATTTCTGATTAGTGTACACAATGTTGATGCTGTAGTCTGGACATGTCTGTGGTGTCCATTCATGGATGACTTGACGGATCGGTTGAAGATTGGGAGGGAGAATGCGAAGAGGTTGTTTAAGCTGGGTTCATATCATGATAGCTCTGCTTGATTTGGATAAACTGCCTGCCTATCTCTGTTTTTGTGTTTTTCTGATGTACCTAGATTCCGCCAAATGAGAATCATGAGCTCATATTCATTCCATCGTCGGCCGTTAATTCGTTAATCATTCTTCCCCCTTTCCTTATCCATGTCCACTTCTCCGTGTATTTCCTCCCACGATTCCTCCTCCTGCTGGCATGCATCAGCAACTTAAGTCGAGCGACGCTCCCTAGCCGCCAGCTCCTGCCGGTCCTGCTCCTGCTGCGCCAGCTCTCGCTCCAGTGCACGCTGGTTTGCGTTCCAACGGTCGATCCAGAGCTCTTTGGACCGGGTCATCTCTTCGTATATTGGAGCAACAATGTTCCGCTTCATGTGCACCATACAGTTGATGATCTTCTGGTAGTTCTCGATGACGTGGTTATGGATGTCCCAGAGGGAACCCAGAAGCTGGGACAGTTGCGCGCGCTGTTTGTTGAGGATTTCCTCAAGGATAAGCTCGCCGTTGAAGCGCATCGTGAGGAAGCGGGTGTAGATGACGGTGTCATAGAGGTCGAGGAAGACGGTGAGTAGGCGCAGCTCCTGGTCGCTGGGCTTCTTGGTGTTTCTATGATTGAAATGGGAGGTCAGTTGGATCCAAGACGACGGATGGTGTCGTAGATGGGAGGTAACTTACTTGTTAAACACCTCAGCCATGCGCGTATAGCGCTCGTACACCGAGGCTTGAGGACACCCCGCGATCTGGGCCATGACGAACGCCACTTCATTGGCTTTTTCTACCTGCTTCTTCACGGTGTTGTTCAGATGAGTGAGATACTGGATCATATCGCTCGTCATGGCACGGATCTTCCCTGTTTCCTGGGCGGACAGCAAGTTTTTGGGCTGGCAAGCAGTGTTCTCCCGAGGAAAGAGAATCATCTCCATCTGGAGGACCGCGTTAGTCATCGCGACGAAACGACGCATGAGATCGGCTGGGATGTTGCCGCTAGGAATGAACGCCTTCATCTCTGCAAGCAGCTTCGTCTTTCTTTCCGCGATCTCGGCCTCAGTGAGGGGAGGGCGGATTGGGGGCATGGGTACGGTGGAGGAGTTCTTGGAAGTCTGAGAGGTCCCGAGAGCTTTCTTTGCGCTCGGGGTGGCAGATCTGCCCTTCACAACAGGATCAGTAGCTGCGTTGAGCACAGGAGGATTGGTGACGTTGGCGTCAATCTTTTTGAAACGAGTTGCTTCCTCGACAACCTTGGAGATAGCGTAGTTGTAAGCTGCTTCGTGCGCTTTGTCAACGATGGGAGGATTCTTCTCGCAGGACTCGTAGTAGTCAGGGAAGGCCTCACAGGTCGTTGCAGCACTGGAAGTCGAGACAGCGGGACTAACGAGACCTTGAGTCACAACAGGAACCTCAGTGTTGCCAATGTTCGGAGTGTGAATGTGAGTGTTGCTGTTGGTCAAGGCGGAAGCCGAGAGGGTTTTAGTAGGCGTAATGGGGGCAGAAGACTCAGAGGCAATCGGCTGGCCCTGCATGGCGTCAGAAGGACCAGCTTGGACAGTCTGAGAAGACGCGTCCCAGCTCTGAGACGTGCCCACGGCACCGAGGTGTCTCTTGATGAGGTTGATCTGGGCTTTTAGCTGCTGCTCAAGGTCACGACAGGCCTCAGTGTAGCTATCTAGTTCATGAGATTGAGGATTCTCAGAAGGGAGGGGATGAGTGTTGTTCTCAGGACCCTGACTCTGAGGGATGTGTTCATCTCGGCGAGCGATGTGATCGTCTCGGCGTTGGTCCTCCATGGTGAGATCACAGTATCAGTATGCAGATTAGGATAGAGAGCGTGTAGAGTGTGTAGATGTAAATACTCAAAGAAACAGAGTGATAATCTTAATGGGAGAGGTGTAAAGGGACACTGAGAGGAACATTTCTGAAAGAGAAGGTTGGGAAGTAGTGCTTTTTTGGATAAGCGAGATCATATCGCAGTGAATACTCGCGAGTTTGTTGATCCTAGAGGTCACCTCAGGCTATTCACTGCAAAGTGGTCTAGGACAGGAGAACTCATCTCAGTGATAGGAGTTACCGATGTATAGAGCAGTGTCAGTGTATGTTTCCAGCAAAAAGGTTTTCAGAGAAGGAATTTTTGAATTTAGCAGTATATGACGGATTGATCTTGCTTAACATCTTGTCCAAATCCAGGAAAGTATATCGTGTTTCAAGACTTCGACCAGTAGCTCAGTGCAATTGAGTCTTTAGAACAACATGGGATACAGGTTGTGCAGCTTGACAAGGAGTTAGGCCACCGAATTTTGTCTTCAGGCAAATTACTGCCATCTTCTTCAGATAGTCGCAGAGAAACCTTGACCATCTATATACGAAGTAAGTGATTATGGACTGTTGTTTCGGACCTGGGCCATATAGAGATCGAGGGAAAGCAATGTCAGGCAAGGGCACAGTTTCCCCATAGGCCCACGGCCATAGTTGCCCGCTGAGTTCGCGATATTCAAGCAGTGATTCGTCTTATATCGTTGTCCCTGCAATGGATGTCCATCACACTGACCAGCAGTCCATGCGAAAAGGTTCATCAATGGAGTAGAGCAGCTCTTGTACCGCGCAAGCATACACTGACGGCGCAGGAACATTGTCCAATACCAAGAATGTTCTGTGTCGAATTAGATTATGCGTCCTGGGCAGCAGTTCGAGACTTGAGTATGATGTATGGCAGTCGAGGCTACTGACAATTATGGCAGTGACGACAGGCCTCCGTGGACTGCTAGGGATGCAAATGGATATCAGCAGAATTACGTATATAAGCACTGATTGATATCACGAAAAGAGAATACATTGACATCTACACTATATGACAGTATGATGTACCGCACCTCAATCTAGAAACGCTCACTGCACTGGAGCGGCCCAAAACGGTTGAGTCAGAATGCAGTTAGATCCTCCCTCTGGGAACGTCTGTTTTACGAAACAGAGCAAAGAAGGAGAGGACAAAACGCCCTGTTCCAGATGCTCTGCTTCACAAACGAAACCCAGAAGTTAACGAGGATCAGTATCGTTCTCCGCACATTGACTGATTGGCACCTCATTGACAGGAGCGTGACAACTCAAAGTAGTGCGTGGATCATTACAGAAGGCGTTGGATCTCTCGAGCAAATGCTGGAACCGAGCGGATTCAGTCATCCTTCTTCGATGACTGATGTCTTTCAGCGGAAGCAAATGGCTCGTCTTCGTCATCGTCGTCAGGCAATGGAACATCCATGACGCGTTCGCCGGCCTTCTCCAGTGTCTTGCGACTCCAAGTCCTGACACCTTTCCAGACAGCCTGTATAGTGCGATTAGTGACTGATCAAGTGCGATGCTTTCGCCGCGTTGACCTACCCATAGGAAGCTAGCGACACCAATGAGGATGACTATCCAACTGATGGAAGCCGCTCGACTCCTGCCGGTGGTCCTCCCACTGCTGACAACGCCTGAGCTGCGCAGATTCCACCACTGCCACGGGCTCAATGCAAGTATGGCCTTGATGAATGACAGAAGACCTAATGAGGCCAATCCTTTCACGAAATGCTCTACCCAAGATGGTCTTGTTTCGGTCGGCAAGCCGCCCGACACAGTACTAGGCTCCCAGAATTCCTTGTAAACTATCGTTTCCACCGGGTCCACATAAAGATTGATGATGGGGTCAGCAATAAAACCAAGCAAAAATACTGTAAACAACAAAATGCTCAAAGTTAATACGATCTGGGTAGATGCACTACTGATCCAGTGCGCCCATTTCAGACGTTCTAGCCTGTACTGAAACCGGCAGGTTGGGCACTGCCAATAGTGTCTCTTTCCATAACCAGGATCTGCATGGCGCCAGGACTGAAGGCATCCCTCGTGAACGTAACGCGAAGAACCTTTGCATTTGCAGGGTCGAAGCAGTCGGCCAAGCTCTGGGTCAGAAGACTCATAGACAACTCGCGGCTTGGGCTGAAGGAAACCTGGCAGGTTTTCCGAAGGGGGGTGGAAGGTAGGAGGGACTGATTCCAAGCAGATGCGACAAGTCCGATTGGGATAGTGGTTCCTGGGAGACTCGGGGCATTCAGTAGTCGGATGTTCGTCACTGGACTGGTAAGTGTTTTGAGGTGTCTGGCTTGACTCCGAGTTCAATGAAGTATTAGAAGGGACGCTGGAAGGCCACTGCCAGAGTGGCTCATTATGCACATTCATGCTGCAGTGGAATGCTCAGAAGCTCAAGTCACAACATATTAACCAAATCTACCAGAGATATGGTGCGAGAGCATCCGGCGAGAGCTTAGATGGTATAAATACAAGGGTGTCGTGGTGTATTATTTGTGTGGGAGAGAGAGAAAGGAAGAGAAATAGGAAGAAAAAAGCCCTCAACCAGCTTAAAAGAAGCGATGTGGAGCTTCGAGACAGGAGGAGCCTCAGGCAACAACTGCACTAGCTGCTCGCGTAAGCCAGTTCTGGCATTTGTATCGTCACCGCCCCAGACACGGCTTGGCACTGGGCGGATGGACCTAAGCTGTGCTGCGTCAACACCTTGTCGCCTGTTGCTTGGAGGAGGAAAGCTTCACTTGAACTTCAACAATTTCATTTTATCTTCATATTACCTTCTCCATCTTTTTTATAGCTCTATCACCTTTTTCAGAGCTTTTAGAATCAAAAAGACGTCTCCATGGCTGATCGCTACTCGTTCTCTTTGACGACCTTCTCCCCCAGGTAAGAGGAGCTTGTTGCAGGTGACACTTTAGATAACCGGATGCTAACAATAGCTTACAGTGGGAAGCTGGTACAAATTGGTACTGCTCTCGGTCTTATTTTATGGAATTCTCAATGCTGATTGAATTTAGAATATGCCTTGAACGCTGTCAACCAAGGTGTAACTGCCCTCGGAATCAAAGGTAAGCTTCATCCAAATGGACTAATTGCGGTAGCTACTCAGAATAGCTTCTAACCATTTTTCTTTTTCTTAGCAACAAATGGAATTGTTCTTGCTACCGAAAAGAAGTCGTCCTCCCCACTCATTGACCCTCCCTCCCTCTCCAAGATTTCCCTCATCACGCCGGATATTGGCATGGTCTATGCTGGAATGGGTCCGGACTACCGTGTACTAGTCGACAAGGCTCGCAAGGTCTCTCACACTGGCTACAAACGCATCTATAATGAGTACCCTCCAACTCGGATACTGGTGCAAGACGTTGCACGTGTCGTGCAGGAAGCAACGCAATCTGGTGGTGTCCGACCATACGGTGTCAGCTTGCTGATCGCTGGCTGGGATGAGGGTATTGAGCCCGAAACAGGTGAGGCTCAACGCGGTGATGAGGAGGGTGACCTCAAGAAGGCTACGGTAGCTACTGGTAAAACTGGTGGTATCCTGAAGGGCGGTCCCAGCTTGTACCAAGTCGACCCCAGCGGCAGTTACTATCCTTGGAAGGCCACGGCCATTGGAAAGCATGCAACAAGCGCCAAGACGTTCCTGGAGAAGCGCTACACAGAGGGGTTGGAGCTTGAAGATGCCATCCACATCGCCCTCCTTACTCTGAAAGAGACTATCGAGGGCGAGATGAACGGAGACACAATAGAAATCGGTGGGTCCTACTTATCTAGATCAAACGTCGCCACGAAACACAGAGCTGACTTACGCAGGTATTGTCGGCCCTCCTGCGGATCATCTTCTGGGTTATGAAGGCGTTGAAGGAGCCAGAGGCCCCCGGTTCAGGAAGTTGACCAAAGAGGAGATTGAAGATTATCTGACCAATCTATGATGGGATTCGTTGGTACGGTTTTTCAACTCTGGCAAGCCTTGTAGCATAATAGACGATTCTTGAAATCTACAAGGTCCCTGCGACCTAATGACCAATCCATATGAGCATGGCCCCTTAGAGTTCAGTGGATACCCCAAGGAAGCTTGCGACCACTGATAGGGCACTCAATCCAACTGTGCGGGGGAATCAAGGCATGACTGAGGTACGCTATGACTTGCGCAGTCCCATAGATAAATCAGGAGAATGAAGTGCAACTTTTGCAAATGAGGGCATTCCTGTATAGTGTACTGTGAATTCTCGCAATAGTATCGCAAGCATGCGTCACCCTCTCAGATGTAAGATCAGCTATCGATCAGTGTCCCTGTACTCTTGTTGCCTCATTTGCACCCACAGTAACTGCCAAATGGTTCTCACAATGCATGATGCACTTGAACGCCCGTTCTACAAGCATAAGACAGATTCAGAAAAGGATCATGCCAGCACCAACAGCTCTTCTCACAACTCATAACCTCTTAGGGGACTCGACGCGGCGACAAACGGGCCAATGCATGTCCTGTGCTACAACGCGGCCCAAATCACGAAATGCCTCACCCGGGTATCTCCCCATCAATGTTTCCTATCGTAGTTGAGACAAGTTCCCTACCTGTACAATGACCACCAAATCAAACATAATCAAGGTTCGGAACATTTAATCCTTCAGCTCCCCCATCTTTGGATCAAAGAACCCATCGCAACGCTACCCGCAGAAGGATTGGTTCTAGGCTACCCCGAAGGTAAACTTTGGCCCCCTTGACTATCTAGGCCTAGACGCAAAGTCACGAAGCAATGCCGGAAGACAGGGAAGGCCCAGGAGCCTTTCCCGCATCAATCACACGCATGCAGTTGCATTCGATCATTGTTTGCTCTGGGGGAGAAGTCGAAAGCAGGAAATCGAGGGTACACAGCAATAAGGGGAAGAATTACTCCGACGGGAGACTGAACGACTTGTACTACCCCAGCTGTTGAGAAGTGCTGTGCGTGGTATGCTTCAGGTAGCTGTTCAATTTTCCGCTCTGTTTCATCGTCTCAGTAAGGTACATTACATGTTGTCTGTTCGCTACTTGAGGGTCAATTCTGTCATGAATGTTTTGTCGCTGGGTTTGTTTCGATAGAACCAGGTGTCTACGCTTGGATTTGATGTGTTGGTGATTTCTAGCGAGGAAAGATTACTGTAAAGGTACGAGAGACTGTCCGCAGAAGTAGGAGAAACAGTACTGCTGGGACAATCCCGGATGGTTGCTTGATTTTCTGTGAGTTTTGATTCTTGTACTGCGACCTGGCCTATACTCATGTCCTAACTCCACTCAGTAAGACAATCCATCCCAAAGCAACATAAAGCGTGAGATGTCGACCATTCAAGATCCATTGGACGGTATCTCTGGTGAGCTTGCAAACCATAGGGACGGGCTCAAGGCGACTCTCTTCATCTTCAGCGCCATCTCCTTCTACAACGTCGTTGAGCTCGTCGTGCTCGTGCTCTCGACGTTCCGGCGTTGGAGAGGCCTGTATTTCTGGAGCTTGCTTCTCTCCGGATGCTTCGGAGTGATCCCGTACTCGCTGGGATTCCTGCTCAAATTCTTCACCTCCGCCAATTCCACATTGTCGGTCACGATGCTCAGCGTCGGGTGGTGGACAATGGTGACCGGACAGGCATTCGTGCTCTACTCGCGCCTGCATCTTGTTCTGCGCGATGAGCGTATCCTGCGGCGGGTGCTGATAATGATCATCGCGAACATCTTCTTCCTACATATCCCCACCACGGTCCTGACGTATGGATCCAACGTTGTCGATCGATCACCTGTATTCGTGCAAGGGTACAATATCATGGAGAAGCTCCAGATGACGGGCTTCACGATACAGGAGGTGATCATCTCGGGTCTCTATGTATGGGAGACGGTCAAGCTGCTCCGGCTGGGATCGGACAAGGATAAGCAGAGAATCATGCACCAGCTTGTGGGCATCAATATATTGATCGTCCTGATGGATTTGGCCTTGTTGGGCCTCGAGTACGCCAGCTACTACGCCGTGCAGATTACACTGAAAGGCGCGATATATAGCCTCAAGTTGAAGCTGGAGTTCGCCGTCCTTGGCAGGCTCGTTGATGTGATACACGGACATAGACGGCCCATGATAGGCAGGGACGCCGTCCACCTTTGTTCGCTGGAATTCAATACCGGCCCGAACAACGGCACTGCTCAGCCAGGTATGAACGGGGATGTCAACGTATGTGAGATTTCGGCGATGAACAACGCGGAAGCCGAGAAGATCAAGAGGACAACCACTGGGAGTTTCAATGGGCGAATCCCAGATGGCAAGATCCTGGCAATGACTGAGTTTTCAACATGGGTTGAGCAGCGGTCCCATGGAGATGGTGACCGAAGGATGGCTTGAGCCGTTGATCCTAATACCTTCTGTAATGATTGAGGTGCCATGTCGATACGTTAATGACCCACTTTGAGATAATTGTAGCATATTGTAGCTTATAATGGCGAGGCGGTTGTATGTTCTTCCAATGATCGCCTGTATGTCTTCAGAAGACTGGAGTTCGATTAAGCAGCGAGGTTCCTGCCTGGACCTTGGGAAGCGTACTGTGAGTTCATGAGTCGTCAGCAGGCCCTTCCACCAACCCCGCATCGTCGCCATCAACCCATCCAAAGTCCTCGTCGGAATCGCCCTCATCCTGACTGTCCGCAATCTCGTCCACTTTCCGCTTCCGCCCACCAGCAGGGAAAGTCTCCTCAACCGGCTGCTGTGGAACAGTGCGGGACGGCTGAGTCGTGTCGGTCCCACGTAGAGAGTCCTGTTTCCGTCATGTCAGTCGGATGTTGACGCAATCCTATTGGCTATAGGGTAATTATTACCGAGTCGATTGTGAACGGTACTATGTTTTCATCTGATCTCACTGTCAAGGCCTTGCCATCCATCTTCAATACCTCCGCGTAGCGGAGGCTCCTTGAAGCCGTCTCTAACTCTTCATCGTCAACGGCCGGGAGATCGCGATACAGGACGATGCGGGTGTACACGCTATTCTCCCACGCGCCACCCGCAAGCAGCGGGCTGAGGGTAGCACGTGGCAGCCCTTTGATCTTTGTGTGTGTTTGGTTGATGAGAAGCACGGCCATTCGTCCTGAAGCCGCCAGCTTCATTAGCTGATTCGCCAGCTCGCTCGTGACATTCCATCTTCGGTTCATGAGCCAATGGATCTGGGACTTGTCCGTGATCTTCGCCTGCGCCAGACGGGATTTTAACTCGGACGGACTCAGAAAGTAAGAAGGGAACGGCCCTGACACAGAGTCGACCACCAGAAGCTTGGTGTTTTTGGGCGGGAATCCTTGTGGTGGGTGGAGCAGGAGCGCTAGCAGATGTGGCAGCGACTGAGCACGGAAGTAGATTAGATTGTCCATGAGCTGTTCTGGCGTATCTGATAATTTGGCTGTGTCGAGATTCTGCATGAGCATGCTCTTTAGACGGAGCTTGGGAAGTGGCGAGGTAGTATCTAAACGGTCAGCGGTAATCTCCAACGGTCAAAGATGTCGTACCAATCCAAACCACTTTACTACCGTCACATAGAGCGTTTGCGGTTATGCTCATTCTGAGATACACAGTCAATATTAGGCTTATTGGTACACCATATGATCAGTTCATCTGCGGTGAAACTCACGCCAGCGCCGTTTTGCCTACACCGGGTGGCCCGAACACCTCGGTGACATGACCACAAGGGATTCCCCCCAGCGTCGCATCACTAGACGACTGTGAAGTCTCATCTGAAGAAGCCGGGCTGATCGCCTGGTCAAGCCGAGGGAGTCCTGTTGAAATCACGCCACGAACTGGAGACGCGGTAGACGCGTGCAGATACTGCGAAGCCGGAAATGAAATGACGCGACCTAAGATTAAAATCAGCGGTATATCACGGGAAAATCTTAGAGGCAGTAACCTACCAGGATCTTGACCGGACAGACCGAGGATATCCTGCGTGCTCATCGTGACACTTACCAGGCGGCGATCACAAGCAAGACGGCAGATTCAGGAAGGAGGAAAAATGTAGTTGACGATTCAGGACATTACTGTAGTCAAGATCTTGCATTTTTCAGTCTGTCAGCTTGACCTTGTCCAACCTTCGCTGAACCATATATTCGGCCGCTGTCCACCGAAATGAATGGTTGATCATCGGAGTATAAACAGATACGCCAACTCCAACGTGGAGGTTTTTGATTGTGGATAAGGGATTCCGAATTCCGCCCCGATGGATTGATTGACTCATCTCCACAATTATTTCATCACCTCCAATGCTTATACTGTTAGATAAGTTACAAAACAAAACAAGTTCGCTCTAGGAATCGTCTGAGTACTTTACAACTGCTGCTGAGTTTACATTTGCTGGTGACTCCAGGTCTTCTGTAAAGTACATCTCGTCAATGCTGAGTGAACCTACATTCAGCTTCACCAACTTCCAACAAGATGCTGTGAAGGCTTTACTGTCGACTGCAGGCATTTCGGTGCTTTCAATTTTGCCCATATTTATCTTCATTGTCCGTCAATATGGCTCCACCCATCCAACGCAGCCGAGAGGATGCCGCAGGCTGGGTCTACCACCAGGCCACACCAATCTTCACGACGAATTCGACCCCAAGTATAGCCAGGGAACCTCAAGCGATGTCGATGGCAAAGGTCAGCCTTCATGGCGCATCAAAGCGCTCTTCACCCATCCCATCAAAAGCTGCGCTGCGGTAGAGTTGGACGTCGCCGATGTCGTATCGACCGGATTCGCGTTTGACCGACAGTTCTGCTTCGCGGAACAATTCACGCCTGACCAAGCAAGCGCCAGCGATGGGAAGGCGCAGCCGTACTGGGATGCGCGGACTCTCCGTAACGGCCATTACAGCCGGCTGACGCTCATCCGGCCTGAGATCTGGGTCCCTGATCCAGCTGCGCCCGACTACGCGCCTGATCTGGATGAGGTCAGGTCTCAGGGTGTGATGGTCGTGTACTACCCACGACCAGCTGGGCGAGGGCTTTCGTCGTACCTGGTCAAGTTGGGGGTAGCCCTGCGTCTGGTCCCCAGGGAGCTGTCATTCAGTGTTCCGCTCGTGCCGCCAGCGGACCGCGCCAGCGCTTATCCTTCTATACCGGTGAAGATCTGGAAAGATACCCCGGTGGCATACGACTACGGCCGGCATCTTCCGCACTCCCTGCGGGAGTTTCTAGCTCCAACAGCCGCCGACGCTGGTGTCTCTCGTCCTCTCACCCTCTTCCGCGTTCACCCCACGCACCACCGGCAGGTCTTCCGCAACGCGCCTCGCAAAGAGGAGCTGGGATTCCAACCTGTGACAGGCTTCGCGGACGCGTATCCCCTGCATATCCTCAACATCGCGAGTGTCCATGACGTTGCGGCGCGATGTGCACGGGATATCCCCCGGCTCTCGGTGCGGCGGTTCAGGGCGAACTTCATCGTCGCGGGGCCCGAGGCGTTTGCGGAGGATCACTGGAAGCGCATCCTGATTCGACCAACGGGGGCGAAGAGCGACGCTGATACCGGGGTCGAAATACATGTCGCCTGTCGGACGCTGCGCTGTCGGCTGCCGAATGTTGACCCTGCCACGGGTATCCGGCATGCGTCTGAACCGGATAGGACGCTGAAGAGCTATAGGCGGATTGACCCTGGGGATCCGACGAATGCGTGTTTGGGGATGCAGTGTGTTCCTGCTGTACAGGGTTAGTGACGTTCCGGTGATGAAAGATCGATTTACTAACTGTTGATAGAGTTCGTCGTTCGCGTAGGCGATACTGTCTCGCTGCTAGAGACGGGCGAGCATTGCTATATAAAGTTGCTGAAGCCGGGCGAGATTGTGGAAGGGGTGTAGGTCAGCCGGTGAAGGACTTACCTGGAAATGGCGAATTATTGTCATGCTACGAGTTTAGGAGCGAAATCATAGTAGTATAGTAATGTTTGAAAATCATGATTTGAATTATATGTCCTCGGAAACAGTGCCAAAGAAGGGTATCCAGAAAGAACATCAAACAACCTGACGCACGTGTAATGCTTCCTCAGCCATGCACTGCGACATAATTAATCATACAGCCAGAGAGCCGGACGGTCGCCCGGCTTTAAGTGACGAAGGGTCTGAATCCTTCAGCTCCTCCGATGGCGCATCGCTTGCCGTAGCCTCGACGATGGCCGCCTCGTCTTCCGGATCTTCCGGAAGGACGAGGTTGAGGACCAATCCGATAACAGCAGTAATAGCAAATCCATTCTCCATGACGAGCTCCACAGCGTTCAGCAGACCCTCCAGGGCATGGTTATCACCACTATACGTGAAGAAGTACGAGAACCAGTCGGGCACCAGCGTAGCGGCCATACCCACCGCGAAAGAGGCCGTCAGGATAAACCGGTTGCGGCGGGTGAATGGGATCGTGGAGATGATACGGATGCCGGAGATGGCTACGGACGAGAACAAAAACGTGGTCATGCCGCCCAGGACAGGCTTGGGGATGGCCACGATGGCGGCAGCGAACTTGGCGAAGACACCCATGACGACGAGGAAGAAGCAGCAGCAGTAGCCGGCCTTGCGGTTGGCGCATTTTGTCAGAGCAATGACACCGTTGTTCTGAGCAAAGACCGACATGGGCGTGATGGTAAAGAGTCCAGCCAGCAGGCACGTCAATCCATTGCCTAGCACACCACCCTGGACGCGCGAATCAAATTCCGCGCCTTCGACTTCGAGCTGGGAGACGTCGCATGTGGCAGTGATGTCACCGATTGATTCCATCATGATAACGATGTAGAGCGCGAGGAACGGAAGGATCAGAGGCGCGTATATAGTCAATGGGAAGGTTTTCACCCAGATGAATGAGACAACGGGCGCAGAGTCGATGCCCGACCTGTCAAAATAGCCGCAGGCAGCTGCCACGATACATCCAACCAGAAGACCGACCACGACGGCGCACGATTTCATAATAGGGGATCCGAACCGCTCGCAAAGAATAATCGTCACGAAAACCAGGAATCCGAGGCCGATGAACTCCGCACTGCCCCAGGGGAGAGCATGTGGCGCACCAGCACTGGGACACAAAGCACGAGCGGATGGGTCAGATCCACAGCCAGAGCCACCAGCCCAGTCCTTCATGCCACTTTCGATGAGGCTTGCTCCGATCAAGAGAACCGTAGGACCCGTCACCATAGGCGGGAAAATGCGCTTTAAAATCCTTGGACTCATGAACGACAGGCCGATCGTAAGTAGAGAGCATAAGCAAGCCGTGCCCAGGATAGCTCCGTAACCTCTGGGGCATGGCAGCTTGTTCCCGCTGGCATCTGTGGGACAGTATCCAGACGCATACATCTGAGAGAACGTTCCCGATGCGACGGTGATTGTGGAGAAGGAGGTGCCGACGACCGAAATCAATCCAGTACCAATGAAGTAGCGGGTCTTCCAAATGCGTAAGCGGGCCATCTGAATAGCGGATAGCAGACCGGAGACGATCAGGGATGTGGAAACGAGGTACTGGTATTCGGCATCTCCGAAGTTGGCGCCGCTAGAACCGCCCAAGATGATGGGAGGGGATATGACTTGTAACCATTAATCAGTGGCAGTCGGATGGATAACATGCCTGAGCTTACCTCCAGCCAACATCGCGAGAGCATGTTGAAGACCCAGAATGAAGGCAAGTAGCACAGGTAACCTGTCGTGCAGTCCAAAGAAAGGGGCCGTCCTTCTGATGTTCTTGGTAAAAGGGATTCTCGGTGTGAAGAGGTAGGCGTAGTTGTAGTCTCCAACCAATCCTTCTCTGTTGTCGATCATGCATGGATGAGCATACAGAGATGACAAGAGATACGAGTGCTCGTAGACGACTTACTTGGTAGTCCATGTCTTGACGATCCGTCGAGCTTTATCACGGAAAGTCCGCCTGGGACTGTGATCGGGACCGATTCGATCGGGACCGTCCATGGTGGATGAGGTAACGAAAGATGTGTCGAGGGCTCGTTGTATGGACGAGTTTCAAGTCTAGTGTTATTCACAATGACTGTGAAATGTGAAGTGCAAGATAATCGCTGGTTCTAAGCTTTGTTCTGCTGCTGTGCACACAGAATGTGCGGGGAAGAAAAAGGTCCCGAAATCGGTCAATGACTCAATCTTGGCCGAACAAAATGGAGCAGATCAGGAACGAGCCTGGAGATTCTGGTCCCGCACTTTGAATGGAACCAGAGCGTCCTATATAAGATGAGCATTTTGCGAAAATCGCGAGATTAGATGAGGATGCTAAAAGCATGACAGCGATACGGCTCTATCAAAGATGATAGAATCAGGGTGCGTGAATCAATCGAATAATCCGACGATCGGTTATCTCTCGCGTCGCGTGGAAGAGGATTCCACTCTCGGGAATAGCACTGGCGGACTGGCCATTAACCATGGTTAGTGCTGTTGCGATGTGGAACTGCCACGCTTGACTCGTGTGGAGGTGATAAGAACCACTCTAGCTGACAGCTGCTGTTTGTGTAAAACCCACCCGTCTTATCAGCAAGGCGGGGGGTGCCGAACTGCCACAGCCTCTGATAGCTATATGCCGAACGACATCCAAATTACTCTTGGTCCCTATCCCTCAAAGTTGTGATTGAATCGAGATTGACCCTGAGAGGCGGATCTGTGTCTGGTTAGGCATATCTCTACGGAGTAGATAGAGAATTGTCAGATTGCAGTCAGGATCCATCGATTGAGCGATCCATAGGTGCATAGATGGATGGGCCGAGGATTGATCGATCAACAATAATAATAGCTGGCCTGGGTCATAATTGCAGTTACTAATAGATTGAACTTGTAGTAAGATCTGAAATTAGGACTTCGGCAGTTGAATATACTATTATGGGCTATCTAGTCCATACTCCATACTTAAACCTATCCCGCTGTGAACCACAGGAAGACCCCCGACAATAAACAAGTCGAAGAGGAAGATTGTTCTCCCGACATGAGATTTATCAAGTTATCAACCCCCCTATTCTGTCCTCTCAGATGATGGACACGATTGAGACTCAACCATGTCTTAGCTGATTTAGTCCAGTCTCAATTTATTTGGTCCTTCAAAGGAACTGAAGTGCCCGACTTAAAAGAATGTCTCAAGGTCATGATTCTCCCGTCACGCTAAAACCTCTTCGCTTGCTTCGAGGCGAGATCACATACGAAGCTGCAAAGGAAGAAGATGCCAATATCCTCCACCAGCTGGGCTACTGGGATCAAAGGATTCGATTTTTTGCCCACTTGTACCGGAATCGTGGAGTGATTGCGACAATTGCCGCTCACCATCTCGGCTTCTGCAGACATATGTCATGTTGTTGACGTGGAGGCCTGGATACACGGGGCTTCAATGTTTGTATTCGAATCGATGTTCATGGCCAAGGACAAGATGCTGGAACACAGGTGATGATTGGATTTCCCTTACCTTACCGAATAGGAGAGAATTGCCGCCCAGGTAATGCGGATGAGAAGGTTCGTTGTGAGGTTGGGACCTACGCATGGCTCCAAGAGAACTGTCTGTGTGTTCCTATTCCACGCCTTTATGGGTTTGGGCAATCCACTGGCCAAACAGTATGCCAATATTACGTATATTTGAAGAAGAACTATTGCTTACAGCCCCTGGTTCACAATAATCGACAACCTGCCTTTTATAGCCCGCGCTGTTCAACGTTTGCGCCGTCGACTGTTAAATTGGTTAGGCTATCCGACTCCAACCCAGTACGTTCAACATCAGACCAAAGTCAGGTTTCGCTGGGCACACCTCTGTCGACTCTTATGTTAATAATATTCTCGCATTCCATGAAAGTCGTCTTCGCCACCAGCCTAATGCAATCAACAGTCTTGAAGATGGGTTCTATCAGACATCTGCACTGATGGTGATGAGGAGTGTCTGGCTGTGTTTTTTCGCTGAGACCTCCTTCGAGGCCCTTTCTTCTTAACCTCACTGATCTTAGCCAGACCAACATCTTTGTCGACGACAATTGGAACATCAAGTGTCTTATCGATCTGGAGTGGGCATGCTCTCACCTGGTGGAAATGATGTAACCTCCGTACTGGTTAATGAACCAGGCTATCGATTTGATCAGCATGGATGACTATGAGATTCTTCATAAGGAGTTTATGGAGGCTCTCTCAGAGGAGGAAATGAAGATCAAGCCGTCCTTCCACCTCCACCCCATCTTGCAGGAGGGTTGGGACCAAGGGACTTTTTGGTTTTCTCTCGCCCTAAGTAGTCCCACGGCATTGTTCAAGATTTTTATGACCATATTCAGCTGAGGTTCTCTAAAACTCATGACGATCCAGCTTTTTGGCAAATCACTGTGCCTTACTAGACGTTCAACGCCTTTCAGTTTATTAAACACAAAGTGAAGGATGAGGAGCAGTACGATGCCTCTTTTCGCGAAGCATTTGAATCTAGAAGTTTGCATGGCTGGAGCACACAGAATTCGATCATCTTCGCTGACACTCCCCTTGTCCTTCCTGCTTGCTTCTCTCACCATCACCCTGTTCCTTATCTTTCATGGCCTCCACCTCACTTTGAAGGTTCAGAGTAGCCTTTTTCCCTCTATTCTGCTGTGCAGCTTTCCCTGAAGAAGAGAGTTGATTGAATTCTAGCATCCATCTTCATAGCGACATTTGCTGCTCAATTTTGCCATCAAAACTTGAATCTGATCGCGGGCTCGCCATTCGCGGGAGTTTTGGGTGTCTAGTTCACTGCCAGTCATTATTTTCAATGACTGCTAAGTCCACTGCTTTCATACGGGTCTGAGATGAACTACCTTATGATCTTGATACAGATTTGCTCTGGCAGTTCTGGGGAAATGTCCGGCTAACCAGAGTGTTATTCATTACTTATACTGCCACCAGGGGCAGCACTCTCATGAGTAATAAGACTAGACTTGTAACTGCAGCAACAGGTAGGACTAATTTCGGAGCTCAGAAACCTTGCGGTATATGGGAAGCGAAAAGCAGGAAATCGGTGGTCTCGGGTTTAAGTATTGGTACCTTCTATAAGTGCTCATTGCGCAGAGTCTTATCACGTACCCTGCAAGCTGCGACTGACTTGAGCGGCGCAGTCACTCTGCAGGATACTACGGAGTAGAACGTAGTAGTCGGCAACATGAGTCCTGCATCTTGCTGACCTGTTCCAGATAACTTAAGTTCTCGCGCAACATATGCACTGTAGAAGTCTATGGGGATCAGGCAAATCTGCCCAAAGAAGTTCAAACGCAACCATCCTCCATCGAACATTGCAACTACTTCTTTGTACACCGTATGGCTGTTTGTACCTCGGTCGACCCATGGCCTTTCAGCACTGAACGATGAGTCAGGACTCAAGATAAAGCGCTGCAGGACCATTGGCGCAGTCATCATCCTAGAAGTCTATAATTATAGCAGGCATAATAGAATCATAATATCATCTCTGCGTAGTTATGAAATATCATTTCTGCGTAGCTATGATCTCATGATGTGAATTACATGGAAGCTGGTTTCTGCCTGAGGCATAAAGTCTTGGCAATGTGCTAGCGAACAACTCTACTCATAGTAAATCTCTCCCAACACTACCAGCCTATGAATTTTGCTCTTGGATACTCTTTCTAGCCTTAGAAGATCTGAATAATGTGTAGCCTGAAGTCCTGACCATTCATCATTTCAGATGTATGGCGGAGAATAGAGCCGTTAGGTATGGTTGATACGGAAAATCGACTCAGTATCTCTTCTATTTGACCGGAATAAGCAGCCGCCACAGAAAGCGAGCGGCCAAAAGGGATCATCAGCCACATTTGTTAGTAATGTAGGTAACCTGCAAGTGCAACTTCAAGGGCGGTAGGGTAGGTACGGTACCTTGTACCGTAGAAAAAGTGTTGGGGATTCAACAGAAGGCGAATGTACCCTGATTGGTGGATCTGATGTCCCCTAGTCCGAAAGTGGAAGATTCTAGCCGTCGATTCGCCATCAGATCGCCCGCCCAACAACCTAGCTTATGGCCCTGATAGCGGTAATCGTTCTATACCCAGCTTTTGTATGGTTGGTTGCAGATTTGACAGTTGGAGAGCATCAAAACTGATAGAACTTGCAGTTTGATGATTGAGATTGGTCTCCGTTTGACCTCGGAATCTCATGATCACAGGCATCTGATCATTATCAGTCCACCTGTTATCCTTCTCCGTCCATCCCCATCCCGTCTGCTTTCATCATAGCAACATCTCTCGGCCCTGCATTGTCCGAATCTAATCCGTTCGTTGCCCCAACCATCATCGGCTTGTGGACCCTGGGGTGAATGCAGTTGAACGGTCAAGTTCTCCTTGCCCTGTCTTTTCCGTCTGCTCACTACTTTTTTCGCCTTCACGCTTCTTTCTTCCCCACCTTCTTCTGTCTTCTTTCGCTTTTTAATTCTTTCGTTCCCGTGTCTTCTCTTTAAGAGCGTGCTCCTCCCCCATCGACCTGCCTTACCCCCTCGGTTTGGCAACCACTAAGTGCGGACGTCCTTTCCTTGCGGATATACCTCCGACCTGAAATTAGAGGACTTGAAGGGAAACGCAAAAGGTCGGCAACATGTCTGCGAAGCCTGCAGATGCTTCTCGCCCTCGGGCTGGTGACCCCAAGAAGGTCCATATCGCCGACACGGCCATCACTCGTCAGAACTGGTACAAGCATGTCAACTGGCTGAACGTCTTCCTCATCATCGGTATCCCCTTGTACGGGTGCATCCAGGCTTTCTGGGTGCCTCTGCAGCTCAAGACCGCCATCTGGGCCGTTGTCTACTACTTCTTCACCGGTCTCGGTATCACAGCAGGTTAGTTGCCAGAGACTCATATCCTTGAGGAATCCCTAGAAATACTAATGCATGGTGTGCAGGATACCATCGTCTTTGGGCTCACTGCTCCTACTCTGCTCGTCTGCCTCTGCGTATCTGGCTCGCAGCCGTTGGCGGTGGTGCAGTGGAAGGGTCCATCCGCTGGTGGGCTCGTGACCACCGCGCTCACCACCGTTATACCGACACTGACAAGGATCCCTACTCTGTTCGCAAGGGTCTCCTTTACTCGCACCTCGGCTGGATGGTTATGAAGCAGAATCCCAAGCGTATCGGCCGTACCGACATCACCGATTTGAACGAAGATCCCGTCGTCGTGTGGCAACACCGCAACTACCTGAAGGTCGTCCTGATGATGGGGCTCGTCGTGCCCATGCTCGTGGCCGGTCTCGGCTGGGGTGACTGGTTTGGCGGCTTCATCTATGCCGGTATTCTGCGTATCTTCTTCGTTCAGCAAGCCACTTTCTGCGTCAACTCTCTGGCCCACTGGCTCGGCGACCAGCCCTTCGACGACCGCAACTCCCCCAGAGATCACGTTATCACTGCTCTGGTCACTCTTGGCGAGGGTTACCATAACTTCCACCACGAATTCCCCTCGGATTACCGCAACGCCATTGAGTGGCACCAGTATGATCCCACCAAGTGGACCATCTGGATCTGGAAGCAGCTTGGTCTAGCCTATGATCTGAAGCAGTTCCGTGCCAATGAAATTGAAAAGGGTCGTATTCAGCAGCTCCAGAAGAAGATCGACCAGAAGCGTGCCAAGTTGGATTGGGGTATCCCACTCGATCAGCTTCCCGTCATGGAGTGGGATGACTATGTTGAACAGGCCAAGAACGGCCGCGGACTGATTGCTATTGCTGGTGTTGTCCACGATGTGACCGATTTCATCAAGGACCACCCTGGTGGCAAGGCTATGATCAACTCCGGCATTGGCAAGGATGCTACTGCCATGTTCAATGGTGGTGTTTACTACCACTCAAATGCTGCTCACAACCTGCTGTCTACCATGCGTGTCGGCGTTATCCGCGGCGGCTGTGAAGTTGAGATCTGGAAGCGTGCTCAGAAGGAGAGCAGCGAATATGTCCGCGATGAGTCCGGTCAGCGCATTATCCGCGCTGGTCAGCAGGTCACCAAGATCCCCGAGCCCATTCCCACCGCTGACGCGGCATGAGCATTTCCTTACGCTATATCTCCTTCTCCTCTTGTACTTACTTTATGACCGCCGCTTTGTTTCGAGCGTATTCTTCACCCTGTTCTCTCATCTCACATCGTCGATGTTCAAAGTCTAGCACATTGTGGGCGTTCTGAAATTTTTTCTTCCGGTGCGTTTGGAGTTGCTGGAGTTGGGTTGCTCGTTACATGCTTCGGCACATTTATGAGTCGATCCGTCGAACGATTAACTGTTCGTCTGAACTCATTCTAAAATGCGAGATACACAAACCTCTTTGAAACGAATGTTAAAGATATGATACCACTATTTTTCCACTATGTTTCTTTCCGTTAAAAATGAGTAGAAGGTAAACCAGATGGACGCAGAGCTGTTTAGTAACCTACCATGAATGTTTTTGTTTTGATGAACATCATAACGGGTAGCAGAAGTCAATGATAAAAAACCTTCGAGTTGGAGTCGGTAGGAGATTAAAATAAACAAAGAGCAATCCTCGGTCAGAAGGTGAAGTGATGAAGCTCTGTGAAACACCGAAACGAGGGGATGCACTATCTCATCTTGGTTAGTTCTACTGCACCCGAGCTAAGCTGCACACGAATTAGCATAAGACTTTAGCTGCCACAGTATCAAACCGGTAGCATCTGATTCTGTTTCCAAGTGCCTGTCTTTTCTATAGTTATGTGAATATGGAGATTTGCCCGGTTGACTTGTCTATTAATTCCGTAGAATTAGACAATCAGATGTAGCAATTGGTTACAAGGCCCGACAAGAAGTTGACGGAAATGCTTGAAGGTGATTGGGTACTATGGTCTCTACGGTGGTAAACAAGACTGGAGGCGATGTTCTACATCGAAGGAAGTGCGTATCTTAGACCGAAACCGAAGCGCATTGAAGATAAATGTATGTGTATGGATCTTCTGTAGGAATTATCATGTTGCCTGGCTCTACTCGAGATCTGCTTTGTTTAGGTACTGAGTAGGGTATGCAAGTTGTCGGAATTGGCTTTTTTCTATGGTCCCGAAAAGCACATGATGATGCGTGTAACAGTTATATCCTCTCCGGATGGGAGAAGGTCGTACGGAGTACTATCGATATGTATAGTGGCTGATCATGGCTTGACCGCATGGTTTGATGATAGTGGTCTTTTGCGGAGTGGGGGACTCGTAGCCCAGCGCGTATTCTATCCCTAACAACGGTAAAGCAGAGTATGAAGTAGATTGGCTAATAGTAGAGATACCTTGCCGCTAATAGTTAAGCAGGATAACGAGTAGAGAAGGTATCGTAAGGTAGTACTTGGTCATCGTAGAGTCTACTAGGGAGTATAAGGGGATAATGGAGAATACAGATGATGATACTACACCTAAGTAGGAGTACTAAACCCAATCAAGTAATGAACTGTCAGCCAGGAGTACGGAGTTAGAGAACACTCCATCGGAAACAAAGCTTTATTTATCGTCTATTGAGATCGCGTCTATCGTTGCGCCATTTGATTATTTATAATCTGTTACTCAAACTAGAGGTCTACCCCGCCTTGTCCAAGTGATTTGCCCCTCTCTACCGTCACCATTAGTCCACTCTTCTCTCGCGCTTTATATCTGCACGCCCTCGTCCTCCTCGCGGGCGTCCTTCTTGTCACCGTGGCTCCTCCTCTCCGCCTCACCTCCCCCACTTTCAGACTCTCTTCGGTCTTGAGCCAGCTTCGTGGCTCTCGATTACCTACCACTACCGCCGTTTACAATTCCGCATTGACCGATCTTCGCAAGTCCCTCACCACCGCCAGCATGGCTCCCGAACATCTACGTCGGCCCCCGCAGGCCCCGCCCCTCTTTACCGCGACTGCTCAGTCCATCGTCGACGATGCCAAGCGCCTCATTGAGACATCCCGCAAAGTGCAGGACAATGTCGTTGCGAACGTCAAGCCTGAGTCAGCGACTTTCGATTCGGTGCTGAAGCCTCTGGCCCAAGATGAGAATACCATGGCGCTGGAATCCCACATTTTGAGCTTCTACCAGGCTGTGTCGACGGAGCAGGAGCTACGGGATGCGTCATCCAAGGCAGAGGAATTGATGGACGAGTTCTTCATTGAGACTGTGATGCGTGAAGACGTATTCAAGCTCGTCGATGCTGTGCTGAAGAAGAACGAGAGCCTCGACCCCGAGTCCCGGAGACTGCTGGAGAAGGAACACAAGGATTACATCCGCAACGGGCTGGGCCTTCCGGCCGGACCGAAGCGTGATCGCTTCAAGGAGATCAAGAAGCGTCTGAGCCAGATTAGCATTGAATTCCAGAAGAACCTGAACGAGGAGAACGGTGGAATCTGGTTCACACGCGAGGAGCTCGACGGCGTGCCAGAAGACGTTCTATCTGGCTTGAAGAAGGGCGAGGGCGAGCATGAAGGCAAGCTCTGGCTGACCTTCAAGTATCCCGATCTGTTCCCGACCATGAAGTATGCGAAGAACGCGGAGACGCGCAAGCGGCTGATGATCGAGAACGAGAACAAATGCAACCAGAACGTGCCTCTGTTCCGGGAGGCCATCATCCTGCGTGATGAGGCCGCTCGTCTGCTTGGATACCCCAACCACGCGGCGTTCCGCATTGAAGACAAGATGGCCAAGACCCCAAAGACGGTTGACGACTTCTTAGGAGACCTGCGGTCGCGTCTGACTGCCGGAGGACACAAGGAGATCAAGGCTCTTTTGGAGCTCAAGAAAGCAGATCTCGAGTCTCGCGGCGAGTCCTTCGATGGCCGCTACTATCTGTGGGACCACCGGTTCTACGACCGCCTCATGCTCGAGAAGGATTACTCGCTGGATCAGCAACTGATTGCTGAGTACTTTCCCCTGCAGACGACCATTGAGGGCATGCTGAAGATTTTCGAAGAGCTGTTTGGTCTTGTTTTCGTCGAGATTACCGGTGAGGATCGTGAAAAGGTTGCGCCCACCGGCAAGGGAAGCGATATCGTCTGGCACGAAGATGTCCAAGTCTTTAGCGTCTGGAATGACGAGGGCGAGGGCAGCGGGTTCGTGGGCTACCTCTACTTGGACCTGTTCCCCCGCCCCGGCAAGTATGGCCACGCGGCCAACTTCAATCTCCAGCCGGTATGTGAAACACATAAGGTTAATATCACTTGACTAACAATTGTAGGGCTTCATCGACGCTGACGGCAAGCGGCGCTACCCGGCCACTGCATTGGTGTGCAACTTCACCAAGCCCACGGCTAAGAAACCTAGTCTCCTCAAGCACGACGAGGTGGTGACTCTGTTCCATGAGCTCGGACACGGAATCCACGACCTCGTCTCCAAGACGATCTACTCGCGCTTCCACGGGACCAGCACTGTTCGGGACTTTGTTGAAGCTCCCAGTCAGATGCTGGAGAACTGGTGCTGGACACCGTCCCAGCTCAAGTCCCTGAGCAAGCACTACTCTACCCTGTCCCCTGAGTACCTTGCCGCATGGCAAGAACAGGCCAACGGCAAATCCCAGCCGCCCGAGCGCATTCCCGACGAAGTCATCGAGAACCTGATCCGCACCAAGCACGTCAACGACGCGCTGTTCAACCTCCGCCAGCTGCACTTTGGCATCTTCGACATGACGGTGCACGAAGCCGAGAGCCACGAGCAGATCCAGAAGCTACCCATCTCCGCCACATACAACCAGCTGCGTAAGCAGATCGCGCTGCAGGACGGCCCGGAGGTCCTAGGAATGGGCGACGAATGGGGCCATGGCGAAGCAACCTTTGGTCACTTGATTGGGGGCTATGATGCCGGATACTACGGATATCTCAGGTAAGCATGCTTTTTCTTTCTTCCTCTTTTGCGTACTTGCAATTCTAATCGACTGCAGCTCCCAAGTCTACTCAACCGACATGTTCTACACTGTCTTCAAGGTCGACCCGATGAACCCAGCCGCCGGTCGCAGATACCGCTACGGCGTCCTCGAGAAGGGCGGCAGCCAGGACGAGATGAAGACGTTGACCGACTTCCTCGGCCGCGAGCCCAAGACCGACGCCTTTTACAAAGAATTGGGACTGGCTTAGTCGGTCTACTACAATTGAGTAGAAGCTTAACACAATCAAAGAATTCGCTTCGCTTCGTACCTATACTAGCATTGTAACTCGGTCCCGCGTAAAGTGGTGCGTAGCTAGCTGTCTATCTTATCGATAAGACACCACCCACTCCAGTCCAGCTCTCAACCCGCTACGCTACATCACCACCTCACATAAATTCTTCCATTGCTTCAAACCTCACCAACCCCAGATAACCACCTACAAGAGTCACACTCACCCCACCAAGGAAAATACAATGTCAACTACAAACCCCTCCGCCTCTCCATCCCACTCCCCCGCACCTCAACAACAAGACGACCAACCCCAGCAACAGCAACACCACCAACAGGAACAAGAGCAGCAACAGCAACAGCAACAGCAACAGCAACAGCAACAGCAACAGCAACAGCAACAGCAACAGCGCCTAAAAGTCCACACCCACCACTGCCGCTTCTGCAACCACCTCCTCCTAGCCACAACGCGCACGATCGCGACCCTCCCGCACCGAAAAGCCCCAGCGCAGGATAACGCGCTGATTCTCCCTCTTCCGCACGCTGACGACGACGAAGACGAGGAGGAGGAGGAGCCAGACGCACACGCAGACACAAGCACCTCCCCCGAACCCGGGAGCGAAACCAACCAAACCATAAAAACCGAAGGCGAAGGCGAAGGCGAAGGCGAAGGCGAAGGCGAAGGCGAAGGCGAAAGCGAAGGACAAGGGGAGAGAAAACGGCGCAAACAGAAGCACTACACCATCCTGTTATCCACAACTCTCCCTGATCGCAAGGCGACGCTGATCCGTCGGGAAGACGGGTTCGAGAAGAGGCGGTTCCTGCGGTGTGGGCGGTGTCGGGTTGTGGTGGGGTATTTCCTTGATGCGGTGCATTTTCCGGTTGCCCGTGGGAGGGGTGAGGATGTAGGTGAAGGGGAAGGGGCGGATCAGGAGCCGCGGGTTGTATATTTACTTCCTGGGGCGTTGATAGAGACGGAGATTATGGGTGATGAGGAGAAGATGCAGGCGATGGATCGGGAGTGGAGTGGGTGGATTGCCCAATAGGGTCCTACGGGTGTACATCTTCATCTTTGTCTACAGACATAAACAAGGGGATACAGTACAAATTCATATTACTGAATATAAACTAATTGCTAGAGTCGAGCCGACAAGTCAAGTCATCGACTGCGTGGACGGACGCGCAGCGCACATCGTAAAACCATCGTGGAAGCGTCAAGGGGGGTATCGTAATCGTTCAGTTGGCCAGGATCGTGCGGACGAGTTCTGCGATATCAGTTAGTGTCAACCATTCGTAGTAAATCGGACAAGAAAACATACCGGTGTAGTTGATCTCGCCAGAGCTGGTATCAACCGCCTTCAGCAGCTCATCGACCTCCTCGTCCGACATCTTCTCGCCCAGATTCGTGAGAACTAATCAGTCAGCACCTCACCACATCCAGCTGAACGCGCAGCGCAACGCAGAACAACATACTATAGCGCAACTGCCCCACCCCAATAAACCCAGTCATATCCTTATCAAACACCTGGAATCCCCGACAATATTCCTCGGGCTCGCCGGGCTCCCGGAATCCACCAGGGCGGTTCAGCACCTTCAGGAACGATTCGAAGTCGACTAGCGCATGGTCAGCTTGCCACATCGAGAGCCAGAGACCAGAAGCAACTTACAGTCTCCGCCGATACTCTTCTCCAGATCTGCAATCTCCGCGAGGGTAGGGTTCTGGCCGCATGCGCGCAGCAGGTCACCGAGCGACTCGAGCGATACCTTTCCCGTGCCGCGCTTGTCGAAAAGCGAGAACGCTTCCTTGTAGTTGGTTGAGGCCTGGTCGTTGTGAGAATCAGGTGAGCGAGGCATTTTAAAAACGGTCTATTTTCCAGCAGATAGCGGATAGACGATGAAGGGGAGAAGTTGGGGATGGAAATGCAATGACGGAGGGAAGTTCAGTTGTTCGGAACCAGAGCCGGAACCAGAACCAGTGACTGGTTGGTTACAGGCGTGAAGATGAGGGGAGAGGCGGCGATCCGAGAATGGCAGCAACGCAACGGGAAAACACCCAACAGAAGGACGACGCGACGCAAGGGAGGAAAGTAACAACAGGACAGGAAGAATTGCATGCAGTTTCACTCTCACTTCCGATCTCCTCGTGAGGCTATCCACATGCGACATTCCACCGTGTTGTTCTGTGCTGGTGTGGAGGAGGATTCTAGACGTACCATGGTTGATATTGTCGTTTCAGGGGTTGATTCGGTATTGCTGCAACAAAGAAAGGGAGAGTCAATGCCTGCGACAAATATATTGTTAAGATGGTAAACAATGATAGATCCTTACAAACACGACGATGACGGCGTAGATAATCGATTGAGAGATGATCATGCGAGGAGGAGTGAAGATTAGAAGTTGGCCCGGTGTGGGTTTGGCGGTGTTTAGGCGGGTGGTTGTTGTGGTAACCAGCAAGGGTGGATGACTGGCCCCGGCGATCCAGATGAGATGACATAGCTTATTTCTGCACTAAGTGTATGCAAGGCTGGAATGGACTGGTTAAAAGTCAAGTCGAATACATTAGAGAAAGGTTCATATATACTCCATACTAGATATCCCTATCAACAGTATACAAAGCAATCGCCAACCCGTGGTATCACATCATGCAAACAATAAATCAAATCATAACATGGCAGACCGTCCTCCAAAATACAAGTAGATAAACCATATATCAAAGAATTTCTAACCGTCAAGGCTTCAGCTCGTCCGCGTCGTCTGGTTCCGCAGCTTGTTGATGCAGCTTTGCAACAGGCTGGATGCTTCCGAGAGCAGCTCCCACCGAGTGTTGGCGAAGCCATCTCGCAGAATCATCAACAGGCCGAGGCACTGGTTGCGACCCTTCATCGTCGCCAACTCGTTGGGCTCACGCACCCCGCCTACCCGGCGGAGAAAGGCTTCCATGTCGCGTCGCTGTTCAGCTACCGTTTCCAGCGCTGGAGGCGAGGCGATCGGCCCATCGAGCGCATATCCATAGCACCAGACGACCAGCACTGCGACATAGATGACCCATGGCCGGTTGAGCAGATAGTCATCGCGTCCGGAGTAGGTTCCGGTCTCTTCGGATACACTCCGGCTATTCAAAAGACATTGGGAGAGAAACTTGAGGGCGTAAAACGTCGCGTCTCGCGCTGACGCCTTGGTGGCCCATCGTTCGGTCATCTTCTCACGGGCAGCGCTGTAGTCCCGTGGAGTAATCGACCGCCCCATGAGTCGACCCGCTCCTGCGAATATCTGACAGTCCACAATGTCGACATGCGAGGCCATGTGAGCCAGTCCATGCAGGACATCCCGAGACTCGGAGACGCCCTCGTCTTCGAGGGAATGCCGCCGGTATTGATTAGGGAACGGAGGAGGTCCTGCCTGAGCCAGGGCCTCGTCAAAGTCGCGCCGCCAGTTATCAAAAGCTCGCAGAAGGGCTGATCGCCATTTGTCCCGTCCACCGAGAGCCTGCGGAACGCCCAGCGAGCTGACTTGCAGGTCGCGCTGGTTCATGTGCCAGCTGACACTAAGCAGACCGGCCATCAGGATAGTGCGCCCGAAGGCATTCGTGGTAACACGCTGTCCGTTGAGCGTCTTTTTGAGCCCGTCGAGAAACATGGTCGGCTTCACACCATTTGCATGCAGGCTAGATTGAACGCGCGCAACTTCGGCGGCACTGGTGGCGGACCACAAGGCTTCGTCGCAGGGCAGCGGGAGCCGGAGCTCATGGGCCACCATCTTCGCCGAATGCCCGAACATAGTGGCGTGGGTAGAATCCAGCACAAAGGCCGCAAATGCAACCCGCCTGGTGGCCTCCGCCTTGATCCAGTGTGTCCAGGAATCGTCTGCAGCAAATTCCGAATTCGAAGCAGATCCTGTCGTGGACCTAGTCTGCCGGTCATCTCTGAAGCTTGCGGGTGAGTCGAGTGCGGAGCGGCCGATCAACGAGCTGCCGCGACGCATCAGCGTCAGGGTGGTGTCGTGATGAATATGCGCGCGCTCATGCAATGCGCGAGTCGAGTACATCTTTTCAAAGACCTCGAGCAGGAGTAAAGCCTGGAAAACCCAGAGCTTGGCGGGCGGTCGGAAATCAGCATCCATGAAAATCTCCCACCGTAGATGCCACCCTATGAAGTTGGCCAGTTCCGCAGCCGTCTCGGTTACCTCTTGCCCATGGATGTTGTCAAGGGTGGCTGCTCCAATGGCCATGACGGCCAAGAGAAGTAGATTTGGCGCCTTATCCGCGACAAATGTAGGTTGGTGCAGAATGGGGAGCTGCGAGTGAAAGTGATACCAGTAAGAGCCGATATATGTCTGCATCATGCGCAAGCTCAGAACATGGCTGTCATCGTCAACATCTCCATCCATCAGAGCATCCTTGCGCTTTGCCACTGCTGAATAGGCGGCTTCGTTAAATCGAGTGGCCATGAGATGTAGCAACTCCTGTCGCTTCTCCTCCGACATGATCGCCTGGGGCGAACCGGGATCCAAGATACTGGTGACACTCATTGGATGTTGCGGAAGGACGCCGTTCAGGAAACTGCCGAACGCTGGCTCGCTGATGAGGAACTGATTCTGCAGCTGTGTCGGATCCAGATAGTTCGGCATCACGGAAGCCGTGGGAGAATAGGCCAAGGACGACAATCCCGGAACAGGTTCATTGAACAGCCACGCGGTGAAGTCATCGGCCATCGCAAAGGGGGAGCGGTTGTTGTATGTTTCGCCGCCGAAAATCGGGTAGACGCAAGAGGCCATCTGGTCGAATGCAGGATCTGCGGAAGTAATCATACCCGACAGGGAATCTAATCCAGCAATGCTGGTTGATCTGTCTAGCGACGCCTGGGTGGAGGGCGGCACGGTATTCATCGAAAGATCGGAAAATCCACCGACAGGCATTTGAAGGCCCGTGGGAGAGCCATACGGCAGCGACTGAACTACTGAAGAGCCGTTGACGTCGGCTGACATGGAGTATGCTGTAGCGTCTTGAGGTCTTGTCCTAGAAATGGGATTCAGTACGGTCAGTTGACATGTCTGATCACTAGGGCTGCCCGACGGATATATGGAGTGGCGGCCGGTGAGCGGCACATACGCTGGCTTTTGCAGGTCTGGAGGGCTGAAGGGAGCATTTGCTTGACCAGGAGGAGAATTAATGCTATGGTTGCTCAAACTGTTAGACCTCGATGTAGTCGAGTCTGGTGTCCCCACACCATGCTGAGCAACCAACGGTTGGTAGTTGAGGGGTCGGCCGAGCGACATCGACGCCGACGATGAGACTGATATATGCTTGCTGGAACCATTAGCCGACTGCGGTGTCAGAGTCTCCACCCCGCCTTCTGGGAAAGTGGTTACGGAGCGCGCCGATGTCAAATCAACGGTAGTGGCGGGCAAGATCGGCGGCTGCTGGGTGCTGCCCATCTGCGGAACATTATTATCGACCACATTGTGAGGCAACTGGCTTTGTTGTTTATTCTGCGAAGCCGCTTGCGCGAAATGGTCCCGTTTCTGAAGCTGAGAGCCTTGTGTCGTGTGCCGTTCACGGTGCCGAACGCATAGATCTTGCCGTACAAAGGTCCGGTAGCAGTCCGGAAAGTCGCATCGATAAATCTGCTTGGGAGTGTCTAGAACAAGTCATACATCAGTCATCCGCATCCACCAAAACGGGCTTGCGGTTGGAAGACGTCCAACATACGGTTCAGTTGGTGGCGGTAGAGATGCTCGGCACGCGAATAACTCTTGCCGCAGCCCTCATGTGTACATTCAAACTTCCGATCCGAGTTCACCTTCCGGGCCCTCTTGCGTTTGCGCGGCGCGCCGTCCGCTCGCAGGGCGTCGGTCTCCATGGTCTCTTCCTTATCGCCCGGTTCTTTTCGCTTGTAGTCGAGTTCCTGATCCAACCCGGTCACTGTACCAACAGCGAATGTCATATCGTGTGACAGATGCGGAGAACTCGTGGGGTATGCGCACGATATGTCCTCGCAGTAGTGGCGGTTTTTTTTCCCCGATCTTGTGTCGTCGAGCTTATCCGATACCCTGTAGTGGACCTGCGGAAACCTCGTCTGTGTCGAGTGTGACCATCAGACAGGGGACGGAGGACCCGAGCCTTGGAAACGATCGCAGGCGACGAGGTCTCACTGTGAAGGAGATAGTCGGTCGGAGCGAGCCATGACAAGGTTTTGGAGGAGGCGGCACGGAGGTCGGAGGTGACAAAGATCTGGACGGGACGGCCTGTGCGCGGGGGACTTTCACCAAGGCGGCCGGCCGAACCCCGTGGGGAAAGGGTTTCGCAAGGGATCCGAAGAGTTGGTGAAGAACGGAGGAGGTATATCTTGTTGATAAAGAAGATAAACTCGAGCTAGACAGATATAAAAGAAGAAGAGAGTGTTATGATCTCAGCAGCCAAATCGTCAGTCGTGGTTATAAGGTGAGGTGGTGTGATAATTTAGCCGGTGGTTGGACTGTTGGACAGCGGACTCGGGGAGGGGAAAGAGGAACAACTGTCTTGGCTGGAGAGAGAGAGAGAGCCGAGCCGGTGTAAAGTCAACAATATCCGAAGGCAATGAAGAGGGAGAAAGAGTCTTCTTATTGAGAGACGGCCTCTAGGTATCCAGCTGGTCTGAACGAGGAACGAGATCAGTGCGCTGGTTTGTTGACTCGAGCTTTTTGCTGGGCACGAGGTGGGGCATCGGCATCTGTATTTCTTTTTCCTCTTCTCTTGTCGCGGATGTAGACGAGACTAGCACATCACATCAAGTCTTAAGAATATCTAATCGACACTCTGACACGAATTCTACAAGCAGGACTGAGGAAAAAAGCAACGGGAGATGTCAATCCCTGCTATGAAGAGCATCGTCAATTACCCCCCGGACTCTAGCGACAGGGTTTATGGCTTTGTGCGAGATCATCTCGCCATTCTACTGACCATCATTGGTCCAGCAGTCCTGCATCGAACAGGCTCAGAATCCAGCTAGAATCATGTAGATATTAGTTTCCAGCCAGTCAATCGATTCATAATCCTGGCCTCGACAGTCGATATCCAACAAATGGACCACGGCACCACCTTAGTTGTCCGCTCGATGAAAAGCATCTCCTCGGGCGGACAGTTTCTGAGGCTAATGGAATCGGTCTGTACCGAGTACGAGGGACCAGAAATTATTAGAAGACGAGTCGAGTGTCACTGTCCTGACAATGGCACAATAGGAGTATCAGGCGAGGTTCGTGAAGCATGAGTTGCGGCAGCGGCGGTTAAGGACACAGTCAACAAAAGTCCCTCTCATCAGACCATCATCATTCCTCTAGCCCCAGAATATCGAGAATAGTCGAGCGTGTGGAATCATCGCAGTACTTCCGAGCGAACCAGGTGCCGGCTCCGTCAATCAAGCCTCCAATGCTATGCTGTATTGCATGCAGACAGAGGAGATCTCATGCAGGTGTCTACGTGGTCGTGTTTGATGCTGTCTCTGTCATCTCCATTCTCCAATCTCCAGTGTCCAGGTACAAATGGATGCGGAGAAGATCTGCGTCATGCACTAAGTAGAGCACCCACATACCTAAGAACATACATCTTGTGGCTCACTCGTCGATTCGAGCAGGCGCGCACGAGGGCCATCTAACTCCCTCTAGAGGGGAATTCGTTTTAGAACGATCTTCCCGCCTCGACTGTCGCGGCTATTCCTATTTTCTGGCTTCCCTCTTTCCCCTGAGGCGCAGTGAATTCACAGATGGTCCCTTTTCTGAGGCAATTCCATTGTCCAATAAGAATCAAGCAGTATGAAGCAAGCCCAGAACAGGCAAAGAGGCAGGGATTAATACGATCAGCCTTGTTCCTTTCTTCTTTATCATCAGGAGACTACATGATTCAGCCAGTCTCATCGGACCCGAATAATGGGACCATACCGGTGACCAGGACCGCGGAGATGGGAAAGGGAATCGAGCTGCCAATATATCAGGACAAATTGAATAATAGAATGATAGTTGATAGGTCCGGTAGATGCCATTCGATAGAGATATACAACCAGAGGACTGTCCACGTGTGATAAGGCGTCATGGCATATACATCATCAGGCTAGCACCTAGCATCCAGATAATGGCGTGATATCTCTGCATTATTGCGTCGACGGGCGGGCCTCCCCGGTGCTGTACCAGCGTACCGGGAATCTTATTTTTGGCGACTCCTCAATGCATATTCCGGGGTCGGACAATGTATCTGACTGAAAAGCAATATGCTCAGAATCTAGACCCGCGTCTCAGGTCGATGGTAGGGAGATTTCCGCGCAGGGTGTCCGTTACTGCCGTAGCAAGAATCGGCCCGTCACAAGACCAACTCCCGTCGCTTCGTCCTTCAATGATATTTTTTTGCCCGTAGCCGACTTTACCTCGATGGAAGTCAAACCGGACTAAAGACTCGGCGAGTTACCTGTGAGGCTGCGATCTTGCACGAATGGGGATTAGACTGGAACCATTTGAGTCGCTCTGTCAATATCTCTGGCGGACCAACTGGACGGGTTGAATGGCAGAATGTGCATATCAATTTTCTGGCAGACGGAGTGAGCAGAGAGATTTCACTCCTGTAATCCATTGCCGGAGTGTCGAGTACTTGGTAGGCTTGAAACCAAGTCTAAAGAACCTGAACGTGGCGTGTCCAACTCGTGAAGGCCCGCTACATAGCTTCCCCAAAATAGAAATATATACTTACGTATCGGATCCTCCATAGTCGCTCTCATCAGCCACACCAAGTCACTTTTCACAAGACTTGTACTCCATAACTCTGAAGGTTATGTCCTTGCCACCGAACTAAAGGCACCTGTGTAATAGTAAGAGATACAAGTTCACCCACTATCGAAGTAAACAATACTTGATCCTCGTTTGATACTAAATGAAACCCCTCATCCATTACTCCTACTTTTTCCACAACAACTGCCATTTCTATCCCTTCCTAACGAGACCCACTGACTCAACTTGATAATATGATCTGCAGTCTGATCAAGGCTCAGAGTTTCCGATAGTAAGGCCGCCACAGTATCATGGATCGTCACTCTGCTACTGTTGGCATGAACGTAGGCTTGTGAATGGCTAGGCAATGGCAACGCTGCCTTCACTATAAGTTCATCGGTGAACCGATCCAGTATTCTACTGTAAGGCTGCAGTTGCCTGTTAGCTACGTTTCATGTCAAGACTCAAGGGTGATCATCTGCCAACGAGCCAAGCTAGATCCACAAGACAGAAGCGTACCGCGTCTACCATAATAATGTCAGATCTACCTGGGTAATGCAGTTGGCTGGCGTACCGGGGCAACGATCGGTCTGTAGGCTTGCTTTCACTGATTGAAGTGCCGATATCGGCAGTAGCGTGCCTGCATGGCGCCACGCTCAAGAGAAAAAGCAACGAGAGAAGAGAGAAAGGAAGAAAAAGCAAAAATAGAGAGGAGGAGTTGGTTGTTCCTGGGTTCGCATCTGTGCCGTTCCATTTCTAAGGTTGCTAAATGCTATGGTATCGAAATCTTACAGGACCGGACGGTGGCATGTGACGCCGCCCCTTTATGTGTTGTTCCGGAGTGCTCATCCATCGTGTTGCGTGGATTCTGAACGTCCGCAGATTGTGTGTGGTTGCCGGGAAGAACATACCGGGTTGGATTCTAACGCATGAAATGCCCCAGGACCCTTACCTGCTCTCATGACGCATGCAGTCGCCGTGGCGACCACTCAGAGGACATTTTTGCCGAGAGGCTGAGCGAAGGTGGATGATGGGGATTGTCTATAATGTGTCCCCGCTCATGAACTTCTCACTTGGGAATGCTCAGTCTGAAGTTCTGGTCTCAAATCTATCCGCTGAAGCGGAACCGAGTAGCCTCCAACCGGCCTAAGCCCTCACGAGGCGCCACGTTTCGTCGGCGATATGAGTGGGTAAAGTCTGTAAGATGCTGTTAGCCGTAATAGAGACCGTGGAGCCTTGGGACTCGGTCCTACCTTGTAGGAGAGATCTGATCTTCCGGATTTCCCTGGTCTGCACTTTGTCCGCGATGCCTTTCAGCAGCCGCTCTGCCTCCCCTGGCTTCATGGTCCCGGCCGGGAGCATCTGGAGCGTGGACTGCACCCATGCCCCAGCTTCTTGGGGCACCAAGTCAAAGAGAGTCATCATAATGCCCGAAGCGTCCGCGAAGCAGTCCCCAGGGAATGTGAACATCATCCCAGTCAGGATTCTCTGGGTAAGAACTTGACCCTGAGCGAGGATCAACTGCTTGACAGCCTCTCTGACCTCAGGTGGATTCGTGTACGAATCCCCGTCGGAGCTGGTGAACTCCGAGACGGCAGGCTTTTCGAATGCAAAACTGAATAGATCATGATAATAGTGCAGTGTCGCAATCAGAGGATCAATCTGCTGGAGAGTGAGGGCGCTGAGCGCCGCAGAAAAAATGGGCACTGCGAGGGACGAGGTGATGCACTCTTTGGGGTAGAACCGGATAGCGTCTGAAGAAAGCCGGTAAAAGTCCTCGATGACTGCATCAGAGTTAGCGTACCACAACAAAGTCTTACTAGACGAATAGAGCTTACCATCGGGCAGGTTCTCTGGTGGCAGCTCATTCAGGATCCGTAGAAAAGCAACTGCCTGTTGTTCGTAGAACTGGAAGACAGCATTGCTTGTCGACCGGTCGACGAACTCGGCCCCTTCAGCAAACTCGCGCACAACAGCATCGGTGGCCCACAAGAAACATCCTTCCCGTGAAGCCTCGAATCCGTTGGCAATGCTCTGGGCCAGCGTGGGCAGCAGAGGAATCATCGCAGTTCGGTACGAGATGATCATGTACCGCCAGCAACGGCAGACACGCTCCAATATGGGGGTGGACGAAGTGAAATTCATAACAATCGTCGTCATAATGGGCAGGATCTCGCCGCAATACTTGACAGCCGGGTTGTCTTCGTTCGGGCCAACATAAGGATTCACAACTTGCACAAAGATTGTAATCAATTGCAAGTGATCTGCGTAGGGATTGGTCAGCTACTGCTTGCGCAATATGTGAAAAATGCAAGTCAAACGTACCGGCAACAGCGCGCTGGCCTTGCTCATCGCTCGCATTGTTGGCCAGATTCATGATCCGTGCCATGATGGGATCACAAAACAACTTCATAGTGTCGTAGATCTTGTCAAGTGGTTGAACAGCAACAACAGCAGCTACGCCTTCCGTGACTTCTTCCTGGCTGGCCGGCTTCAACTTATCGATGACCGATTCATAGAAGGAATGAAGTTGGGGAATGTGCCCTCCCAGTAGCTTCTGACAGTCTGTACCCAAGAACTTAAATGCTAAGGCGGCAGCCTGCACGACCTCGGGAGAATTATGCTGAAAGCCAGAGATGACATAGTTGAGTTGTGCTTCCAGGGTTTCGGGATGTTGAGCGGTCCACTCCGTGTAACGTGCCAGCGCCATGATAGCTTGGAATCGCACCTTCTCCTGATTGGGTATCTGAACAATCAATGGAATAATCTGCGAAAGCACTGTACTTTCCTCGGGGTCGACCATGCGGCCCATTGCCCGCAGACTGAAAAGTGGTGCCTCTAGTTCCTGCCAGTGAGGGACATGTTGGTCGCTCGCCTGAGATGCGTACTTGGAGACCCACTGTTGGATCAACGCGTTGGCCTTGGACAAGCACTCAGTAACACCGATGACGGCGCAGCAATCCTTGAGTACGTCACCCATAGAGTGGCGGTAATGACGGAATTTCTCTTCCTGTTCCCGATCACCACCGAATAAATCGGTTTCGCCCTCTTCGGGACGGGGGTATTCAAGATGTTTGACCATGATGTCCACCAGCTTTGAGAATACGTCGGTGAAAGCGATACGAGCGTCTCCGTATCGCTCGAGTGTGACGTATTGCTTCAGCTCGTACCAGAAAACGAAAGTAAGAGAAACCGCGTCGTGCTCCCAGTCTCGGGCGCAGCATTCAAGAACCGCTTCCACTAGACCGCGGAACTCGGAAGGTAGGCGGGCAATCATTACGACCCAAGCCTCACCGGCCTCTGCAAAAAGCCTGGTGATACCCTTGAACGCGTCTGTATCTTCTGCCTCGGCAAATTCCGCTATCTTTGGACGCAGAGCCAATAACCGTGGGTATAGAGCCTGAATGATCGACACCGATTCATCGACTTCTCGCGTATCCCTGTAGAGGGTGCACATGCTATCGACAGCCGACTCGAAGGAGACATCGTTGTCCAATGCTTTCAAAATGACATCCATCAAAGGCGATTCAACAATTTTCGCGGCCGGAATCTCACGCATCCAAGAGGTTATACAGTCCAAGAGACGTGGGTTGGTCGATGCTGTTGCTAAATGCGGAAGAAGCGGGCGCAGATTAGTATGTAGCGCCTTGAGAATGACAGATGTGTACTTACGGGATGATTGGGCATATTGTATCAGTAGATGCATCACCTGCTCTGCATTGTCTTCCAACAACTCCTTAGTCCTCATCGTAAGATCCTCTTCCTATAATGATATACCTGCATTAGAGTCTGTTTCACTGATCGTGGACTTTGCCGATCCGTTGAGACTGGATTATGAGTGGTGAGACGTTGGTTCTGCCGGAACGTACACTGAGATTGATTTTGCGACCCTCCGTCACTTCCTCTGGTAGGATTTTAAGGAATTCTAGGACACAGTCGCCGGCGCTGCTTCCTAGAGCCGAGCCGACGGTAGCAAGGACATCTTTCCACTCGGTCATCTGAATGGCAAGGCTGGCCAGACACACGCACAGCTGTGTCTGTATCGGTCGTGGACCAGATGCGTAAGCCACGAGGAGGTTCAGCACAGAGTCTCTCAAAGCAACTACAGACTCCGTCGGTAGTTGGTCTAAATCGAATATGATCTATTAAGGTCAGCATTTCTATGCATCACATTCCCTGATGACCATGGCATAGGTTGCTGTACCTTTCCCTTCAGTGTGGTCGCTGCAAACAACTTTGCTTCAACTGGGATATCCGGCGACCGTAACAGGTCGTGGGTGATGCTCCAGGCCTCGATCTAGATAGAAATATCCAATGTCAGACAGAAATCCTGTGAATCCGTTTGGGGTGCAATCGAGGGGTTCAACTCACGGACTTCTGGAACTTTTCAAGGAACTCATGAGCATGTGTCTTCTCACTTCGTGATACGTTTCCTTGCATTGTAGCGACTGCTGCGAGGACAGGGCCAAAGGCCTGTCCTGCGGCCCCTTCCTTACTGGCCATGGTCGACGGAGGTGGGATGTTTTGATTTAGTGTATAGGAGACGGAAGTGGAGGGGTCAATCCGGCCGGAAAGGCTCAAAAACTATAGGAAAATGTCATGTACACTCATTAAATGAGCATCAGATGAGAGACGAAAAGAGGACTTCAGGCACAGGTATTCAGTAAATGTAGCGGACTGATAGATCGGGCAACCGTCCTTACGTAGTAGGGAAAGTGGGATGTGGTGACGAGAAACTCAAACGGAAAAGTTGGTGAGCCGCAATCGTCCCCCAAGGCGGCCAAAGAAAACGTGCGGGTGAAGGAACCTCCTTCAACCAGCTTAGCTTTGCCTAATAACCACCACCACGGACAGAGCCTCAACGCTAATTCTACTATTAACAACGACACTGTTGAACGGCACCCAGTCAGTTTCAGTGCCAGCTACGTTCTTTTAACAATTTCCCACGTCGCGTGTCAATCATGTCCGGTCGAGCAGGCGGTGGAGGTGCTCGCAAGACGCTGCTTGCGCCAATTCACTTCATCTTCAAGCTTCTGCAGCAACGAACGACGGTTTCTATTTGGCTCTACGAGCAGTTGGCGTTCCGGATAGAGGGAAAGATTAGGGTACAATTCCTTTCCTTTCCTTGCAACACGTTATTAGGCTAACAACATGCGCCAGGGATTCGATGAGTTCATGAACTTGGTCATTGATGATGCGGTGGAAGTGAGAATGGCTACAAAGACTGATGAGGAGAAGCGGAGACCCCTGGGTATGAACTTTTACCACTGAGTATTTGATATAGCAAGTGAGTGCTATTGCTAACCCGCGCGTTCGTCACAGGTCAAATTCTGCTTAAGGGCGACAACGTGTCTCTCATCCAAGCGGTCCAGTGATTCTACCACGAAAGGAGGAAAAAGTTTCTATTCATCTACGGCGGCTTCGATTTCCACACAGCCATATACTTTACGGTTTGCCGCTGAAGGACAGTTTTATGCTTAATTGAATAGACGGGTTCTTTGCTTCTGTGAAGACTCTTTCCCCGAGTGGTAATATCAGGATTGGCGAACAAGAAAGCGGCCGTCGCCGACAATGAGCATATCTACTGGCCAGTCGTGATCCGCAACGGGTATTTCTTCATTCAAGGGAAGCATTTGCTCTTTGAGGGAAAGGGCAACTATGTGGAATTAGTAAGGTCATTTAACGGGAGTTTGGGTTTCGGATGCGGCTGCTCCTCACCGAGTAAAGGCATTTTTGATGTTGTCGTCTTTTTCTCGGCTACCTTCTTCGAGTACCTCGTCAAGAAATGATCATAGTAACCTTTACCATGACCCAGTCTTCGGAACTCTTGATCGAAAGCCATTCCAGGCATGACTATCAAATCAAGCCCCTCGAATCTCTGCGTAGCATCCTCCACCGTGTTTGGGGAGACACCTATTGTCCCAAAACAGGTTCTCTTGTTCTCAACTTGGGCCTTAGTGAGCGATGGTATTCCCCACTTATCAGGTTCAAGAGATTTGAATTCTTCCATAGACTGCAGAAGCAACATGTCCATGATGGAGGTCTTCTTCTGCGTCGAAGACGGCGAGTCTATGCTATGGATATACGGCACGAATACCTCTTTGCCGTGAGTCAAGGCGTCTTGGACTATGGCCATAGTTGAAAGTTCACCCGAAGGCATGGACAGGTAGACACCGATCCTCTTGGCATTTTGATACTCAGTGAGGGAGAATAGCTTATCCGCAGCAACTCTGGCTATGCTCAGTTAGCTCACTGTGATGTGTTGGGGATAAAAGGAGTGTCTGACATTGATGAACGATTGACTCATTTGGGGTTTTTTGAAGAACATCGCGGATCTTCCTGCGGAGGTCCCTTTTAGCTGTCTGTAGACCGGAAGCCATCATTATTGCTACGGATGGCAGAGTATGGTATCAATGCGCATTCTTCGAGCACTTCAAGGTGTGATGAAAGTTATTCGACAAGCGCATGGGTTTGTTCAATATTCCGTCGATGCGATTTGGCCTTAGGTATTCTCCGATAATCCCGAAGGTCACCACGTCTTGGCACATTGTTATGTGGAGTATCCGCATGGCTGGATCGACAGGGCCAGGTAATTCTACATACCAGCCATGGCTTACCTCCTTCACTGCAATGAAGGGCAGGTTGTCGCTCAACATGGCACCCCTTCAGGAGTTGTTCCTCATCTCGCTACACCTCGCGCTACCTGACGCTGCTAGGCACTCGCTTGGATACGCGGAAAGATGATTGTCGGATACTTGCTGCTCAACTTCCTCGTCGCCGTTGTCAGGGCCAGTAGTGTCGCTGAGCTGGTTGGGACTTGGACAACTAAGTCTCGCACTGTCGTGACAGGCCCGGTAGGCTCTCTGCAGGCGCACAGTCGCTCATCTTCCCGAGTGGTCTGCATCAATCTCTAACGTCTCGTATCTTGCAGGATTTCTACGACCCGATCGATGACAAACTGCTTGAACCTAGTCTTACTGGCATTTCATATTCATTTACTGCTGATGGATACTATGAACAGGCGTACTACCGGGCCGTTTCCAACCGTCAGTTGCTCCCCACGCTTTCCCGTCTGAGGCTGCTTTCTGACATGATTTGTATTCACTAGCCACAACGCCTTCGTGTCCTAAAGGTATCATGCTGTGGCAGCATGGCAAATATGCTGTGATGCCAGATGGATCCATCCAGCTGACCCCAATCGCGGTTGACGGCCGCCAGTTGGTATCAGATCCATGCTCAAAGGAGGTGGCGATGTACACAAGATACAACCAGACCGAGGCCTTTAGTGTACGCCGAGGACCTGTCCCAACCCTAATGATATCGTTGCTAACTGTGAGTTGCAGTCATTTACGGTCTCCATAGACTCATACCATCATGTGAAACGCTTGGATCTCAAGGCATTCGACGAGACCCCAATGCCCCCAATGTATCTTATTTTTAAGCCTCCTCAGATGCTACCCACAACGACCTTAAACCCGGTCAGTTCGGAGACGGGGAAGAGTAAGCGCCATATTGCCCGAGATATAGGGTCTCCTGTGGGCGTGGACACTCTGATGCGGAGCGATCACATCGGCGACCCGGGCAGATGGCTATGGTTTGGTATCTTTATGACTGCTATGGGGGGAATTGCTTTGATCTATTCTTGATTCCTAGACTGCAATGGCTCTTTCAGGTGCATCATGCATTTGCATTTTGGAGCACTGGTGTTTGAGATCTTGATGTACACAATTTGTCATATACAGCAATGGAGATTCTTGCACGTCACTTGCTGTTGGGGGTCCTCTTAGCTCACCTTTCAAAGGTGGGAATCAAACCTGCCATTAGTAACTCTCTCGCTGTTCCGCGCCCCAAGGCGGTTTCTGAGTGCGGATAAGAGAAGGAAGAGAGGAAAGACTAATATCTATTTTACATCATAATACAAGGGTTGTATGATACATCATCTCTTCTCACGCGGAAGCGACGGCCTCCTTGGCGATCTTCGCAACTTCGGCTCTCTCTGCAGGCTTGCCATCCAGGGCACCTCCAGGAGCAAAGAGAGACTTGAGCAGACCGCCGACCTCGACCTTCTTGCCGGCTTCCTTCAATTTCAAAACTTCCTGCGAGACAATGGCCTTGATGTCTTCCAGGCTCATCGTCTCCACTTTGCCGGCATACTCCTCCAGAATTGCGACCTGTGCATCTTCCTTCTCCTTCAAATCGGGCCGATCGGCCTCTGCGAATTGTTTTGCTGCCTCTTTGGCAGCAGCCGCACGCTTTCGGATGAGCGACAGCAATTGCAAGTCTGTTTGGATCGGCGATGAGGTCTTTGCGGAGTTATTTGTTTCCGAGATCAGCGCGCGAAGGACATTCAATCTGGACGTATTTCAGTTAACATTGGGCTTAGATCTTCGAACGTAGCATGAGAAAATACCTGGCCGTATCCTTCGCCCTCATGGCAACCTTGAGATCAGATCTAATTCTGGCCATTAAGGGCGGCGAAGCCGGACTGGCGGTGGAGTTCCATCGCACTGGAATCAGGTTCAGCCGACTGGTCGACCTCAAAGTTCTGAGCATTTTCTTTTCTGAAGCGCAAGCAATTGATTGAATCGATCAGGAACAAGAGCGGAGAAAATTAGAATAAACACAATTCCATGGGTGGAGACTAACAATGTTCATTGAGGACTTGGAATGAAATCATTGTCGGGGAACACAGAAAAGGCGGAAAGCTGCTTGGGGCTGTTGATCTTGTCTGGTCCGTGCGCAATTTTGTTTCTCTTCTGCTGTGAAGTTCCCATTCTGCCAGTTACCTGCTTTTTGTCATTGTCTCAATTGGCTCTCAATACGATAATAGTAATAATTTACGAGAACCAACACTCTTTGATGCTAATCCTGATTTGCTACGGCGTCTAGTTACTTGCTTATGCTTGGACTCCAGTCCTTTTCCTCTAAAGTCGTTCTTCCTTCACCGTTAGCACGCCGAACGAAGTACCACCACGCCGGGGAGCGCGACATATTCTCCCTAAGCCGTTGACGGCGACAGCACACAACCATGTCATACCCCAATCTTCCGACTCTGACTCCTCAAAAACACCTCCCTGGAGCTTTCTTCCAGACTCCCGCGCCTAAGAATGTATCGAACACGTCGCTCATCTCTCCCAAGCCAGCTCCTGCCCCGGTAGAGAGAGCTTCGCCAGCTTCTCTTCCGAAGCTTCCTCCGGCAGCATCCAAGTCCCAGAGCCAAACGCTGAGCATCGAGGAGCGTGCTGCGGGCACAATAAACGACACGCTCGTTCAGGAATCTCGGTATCCCGACCTGGATAGCTACCTGTCTCGTAAGGAAATGTTGATCGCCTTGGTTCTTCTTTCGGTCTGGCTGACAGTCCCTTCGCAGAAGGATTTTCTTCCGATTACGACATCCCCACCTCGCCATCATGGGCGCCCTTTCAGAAAGTGAAGATGTATAATATCCCCGATCAGATCTTTGATCAGTATAATCGAGCACAGGTTTCGACAAGCATGGGTCTCTTCGCCGAGTTGAATCACGCCTGGGTTGCTATTGACAACGCGCTCTACATCTGGGACTATACGCATCCGAATCCACAACTGGTCGGGTTTGAAGACCAGCCCAATAGTATCAATGCCGTCAAGCTGGCGAAGCCTCGCGCCGGCGTGTTCCTGCCTTCAATCACCCACCTTCTTGTTATATCAACAACTGCTGAGGTCATTTTGCTGGGAATGGGTTGTGAAACAACGCCGGGGGGTGCGCGACAAGTCAGCTTGTACCAGACCGGCATGTCGGTTTCTATTCGTGGCTTGGATATCCATGTGATCGCTTCGTCGGATGTGACCGGTCGTATCTTCTTCGGCGGCTCTACCGACAACGATGTCTATGAGCTCACATATCAACAGGAGGAACGGTGGTTCCAAGGCAGATGCGCCAAAGTCAACCATACCAGTTCGCGCATTGCGGCTTTCACGCCCAGTCTGAGTTTCACTCAGAAGACCACTGAGACGGTGGAACAGATGGAGATTGACGACACAAGGAGACTGCTCTATACTCTGTCGTCATCTTCAACCATTAGAGTTTTCCACATGAAACCTGATGGTACCTTGGCTTTGGCTATTACCAAACCAGCCATGGACATCTACGCGAATATTGGGCACATCATTGCGTCCAACGAAACCCTCAACCCGAAAGTTCCAATCGTGTCCATTAGCCCTATCCCAGCTGCCGAGGCCTCGAGATACCATCTAATGGCCACAACCGCTACCGGCTACCGTATCTATCTCAGTGCGACTGCGTCTTATAGCTGGTCGCCAGCTCCAAATGGTACGAATGCGCCGACAAGCATGCAGGCGCATCATGTGAAGACTCCGCCTTTCGACAACCCCCCTTCTACCCCAGTGGAACTGGGTCAGCCCCGGTTCCAGACCTCCGGAGCATCTAGGTTTCCCATCCATTCTCTCAATCCCACCAGATTCACCGTGCGATACCCGCCAGGGTATTTCTTCTGCTTCACGTGCAAGGATCCCACGCAAAAGACCGACACACTTTTCATCTCTTCTCCCGACTCTGGCCGAGTGGCTCGCTCTCAAGAGAATGTCATCCCTGGAAAGGCAGGCGAGACTGGCATCTGGCTCTCTTTGGGTAGCAGGGCGGAGGACGTTGGTCTCTGCTCCGCGCCTAGCGCGGCTGCCTCGACCCCGGGAGGATTTGGTAACGAGCTTGCCGTTCAGTTTGACAGCGCCGCGGCTGAGATTGCGATTCTGACCAACACTGGTATTCATGTGATTCGCCGGCGGCGACTCGTTGACATGTTTGCTGCATTGGTTCGAGGTGGTGGTAGTGGCGGTGATGAGGGTCTCGAGGGCGAGGTCAAGAACTTCATCCGCACATATGGCCGGAGCGAGACTCTTGCGACAGCACTTGCAGTCGCGTGCGGACAAGGAGTCGAAGTCTCCACGGATTCACGACTGACTCAGATCAATGATCCTGATGTTTTGGAGTTCGCGCGTAAAGTGTTCATTGAGTATGGAGGCCGGCCGACAGTGAATGAAAACGCGGTTGCAGACAGCTCCACACCAGCCATCGACACGGTTATCCTGTCGCCCAGGCATGCGGGAATCGCTCTCTACATGTCAAGGCTACTACGGTCGATCTGGAAGAAAGAAATCGCAACGGTCGGCAGCGGCCCCAATGGTGCACAGACGATCTCGGCATCTGTGGCGACAACGAAGCTGCAGAGGGTACAGCGTGACCTGTCTGCCTTGCAAGATTTCTTCAAGGCGAATAAGAGTTTCATTGAGGGATTGAGTGGTCCTGAAGCCTTGGCGCGCGTGTCGACGAAGCAGGAAGAAACGGCGCTACAAGCCGAACACAGAGCGCTGCATTCGTTGGTTCAATTGGTTTCACACACCATTGAAGGTATTTCATTCGTCCTGGTGCTGTTCGATGAGCGCGTTGATGAGATTGTTGCAACTCTGCCCGACGAGTCGAAGCAGCGCTTCCTCAAGCTCACATTCGAGGAGCTTTTCAGCACCAGCAAGGGCCATGACATCGCAAAAGAACTGGTGAAGGGGATCGTGAATAGAAACATTGCCAAGGGCTCCAACGTTGAGACCGTAGCTGACGCACTCAGACGACGGTGCGGGAGCTTCTGCAGTGCCGAGGACGTGGTCATTTTCAAGGCTCAAGAGTTGTTGAAGAGAGCGACCGAAGCAGGGGCCAACTCGGAAATCGGTCGGAACCTGCTGAATGAGAGTCTCCATCTGTTTCAGCAAGTGTCTGACAGCCTTCCCATGGATTACCTGGTCTCGGCGGTCGAGAGCTACATCTCCAATCAGTTCTTTGCAGGTAAGTCTTAATACCTCAACCATGGATGTTGAAAACTGACAATTTCAGGCGCAATCCAGCTGGCTCTCAACGTCGCCGCTCGTTCCGACAAGGCTAACATGGCACTGTCGTGGATTGTGGACGGCCGCCCTGAGGATGTAGGAGTCCACTTGTGACATTGTTTGATGGGCAACATGCTAATCCGCGGCCACAGGATTCTCGACGCGATTACTTTTACTTCAGAAAGCAATGCTATGATTTGATATTCAAGGTCATCATCGCCGTTGACAATCTTGCAGCGCATGATCCGGGTGTGGTTGATGGGCAACTCACAATCATTGCCAAACGCAAGAATGAGGCCTATGGCGTGATTTCAGATTCGACCGACGAGGTGTTCTTGACGAGTTTGTATGACTGGTACCTCGAGCAGGGGTGGAGCGATCGTTTGTTGCAGAACAATTCTCCCTTTGTGGTCACATACCTCGAGCGCAAGTCAGCAGATGACATCGCTCATGCGGACCTGCTGTGGAGATATTTTGCCCAGTCGCAGCGGTTCTACGAAGCCGCCAACGTTCAGTACCACCTTGCGCAGAGTGCCTTTGCTTTGCCTCTTGCTCGCAGGATCGAATACCTGGGCCGGGCGCGGGCGAACGCCTCAATTTTCACTCCAGATGTGGGCCGGCAGTCCCGGCAGCGCCTCGTGCAGGACATTTCGAATCTCATCGATATTGCCAACATCCAGGACGATCTGTTGCAGCGGCTGAAGGATGACACGCGCATCGCACCCGAGCGCCGAACGGAGGTTCTGAAAGAGGTGGACGGCCCCATCATGGACATCAGTACTGTACGTTCCAGTTCTAACATGCATTCGTAAGGTCATACTAATCCGTGTTACAGCTGTTCAACCAGTACGCCGATCCTGCTAGCTATTACGACATCTGCCTTCAGATCTTCTACCTTGCGGACTATCGCAATTCAGCGGATATCAGGTCGACATGGCAACACTTGTTCCAAGACCTGCATGATGAGACACTCGCAAAGGGGGAACCACAACCATACGAAGCTGTGATTGAGAAGGTGCGCAGTCTCGGCAGCCGTTTGCGCATGTCCGAGACTGTCTTCCCGATCAAGGACCTCCTACCGATGCTCGAACGGTATGCGCTCGAGCACCAGCGTGATGTGGGCACGCCGACGTGGATTGTTGATCTGTTCCTGGATCTGGGGGTTGCGCACGAAACCATCTACGCCGTGCTCGAAGCGATGTATTACACTGACGAGGCGCCATTCCACGGATCGAACCGCAAATACATTGCCAGGGATTTGCTGTACCTGATCGAGGTGTGGTACCACGAGACAGTCCGGCTGGGAGGGATCGTGTTCGGAAGCGACGCAGTCGCGGAGCGTGTCTCGGAGACGCTTCTCCTGTTGCAACAGGGCGGCATTGCACCCGAGCAGATGCAAGCTGCGCATGAGCTGCGCACGCGGATTGCAGACATTCTGCGGTAACGAGTCGATAGAATTTATGCTAGTGTACAATTGCGACATGGTAGCTGTTTTCTGCATGTTCTTTTAAGTTTGTGTGAGCATATGGCGTTATTTTTCTTTCAGTATTTCCGCTGTGAGACGGCATTTGAGGCTGTTGGTATGAAAAAGGCAGGTCATAGTTTTGCCATTGTCAATGCATCCCTTTTGAACGAATTGAACAGCAGTCGAAATTATACTCGGATCCTTTTAGAAACTT